ATTAGGCACACGTGTTCTGCAGGAGCGTTTTACATTTTGACCAGAGAAAAAAAGTCTAATTTATTTGGTGCAAATAATATTTATTTTGTACTGAAAAAAAAAAAGAATTTGATAAAAATACAGTTGGAAACATGTTAGTAATTGTATCGTTACACAAAACATTTGGTAACAATTACCATGCGTTGAAAAATTATATTCTGTAACTAATTTTACTTGGTTAGGTCAACCAATGCATGTGGTCGGGCATTTCGAACAAAGTATCGGTTAATTATATTCTTTTACATGTTATTTTGATTGCGAAACTTTGAAATTAAGCTAGTTTCATACAAAATATTTACTATTACTATAACTTGAAAATCCATGTATGAAACTTAAAAAATTCTCGAATTAACACGTACCACCAAACACAAAATGATTTCCCATTTAAATAGCATGGGATTTTTATTTTTTAACTTTGTTAAATTTTGTTTACCACTTACAATATTTTTTCTGGATTTTAAAAGGCGACAAAATTGGAAAAAATCCAGAAAATCAAATTATTTCAACTTAAATATTTTGAGCTGAAAAAAAGTGTAACATGTTCAAATAACATATAAAAAATTTTGATTGTTATAAAATCCAGAAAAAAATGTTATAAGTGGTAAAAAACGTATATGACTAAGAAAAAAAATTTGGCAAATTACAAACACCCTATACTGTACATGTGTATTTTAAATAAACACGACAGTCTCTATTACTTACTTGTGCCAGCACTTTTGCCTTCAATCTTTCCTTGTCCCTTAGATTCGACTGCAAAAGTAAATAAATACATTACACGCACAGTGGAGTCGAATTTCCCTGATTTAACAGTACCAATAAATTTGCATGAGACCAAGTTAAGGGGATAAGTTATGAGCTTTTTCATGACAGTCTACTAGTTCGTTCTCTCTCTTTCTTTCACTCTTTGATGTGGTAATTTATTGGGCTTCTACGCGTATAAATACATTTTATAGTGTGGACTCGAAGAGAATTATTTTTTTCAGTAATAAAAGTTTAAACGTAAAATTAGTTTTTAAACAACTAACGAAATGATCCGTACTATTTATTATAACGAATTGTTTTTTTTTTTTTTTTTTTTTTTTCGAACAACATTAAGTGACTTTTATGAGTACTTTCTGCTACCTAATCCTCCTTCTCTCTTTGTACCCATTTCTATTTATTCATCACCGAAGGGCAACTTAGTGTCAATATACTACTAGTCCACATCTAAAATCCACTTAGTGCACTATGAAGTCCACTCATTTTTCGATTAGTACTCTACGTATACTTTATGTACACATTACCTATGCTAAATCGTGGAGGGCATGGATAAAGATGAGTGTGGTCGAGTGGACTACTTAGTGGACTTGGGAATAAATATGTGTACTTTTGAGTGGAAAATAAGTGTACCATGTGTACGTGTGATACCAAAACTGTGTACATATCAGAACCAATAAATGTTAGACTTTAACCAATGATACTATTAATTATGATACCTTTTTTAAGTAGTAACAACTGCGTTTTACATAAAAATTACTCATTAATTTAACAGTATTAATAATTAATAAAGTGTGCCCTTAGATGAGCAAGCATCGGTGATTAGGAACCCAACAGTTTTTTTAGTATTATTTAGTACTGAAATGCGCCCTTAGGTGAGTAAGCATCGGCGATTAGAAACTGACAGTTTTTAAGCACTAATAGTTTACAAAATTTGCCCACATTTAATTTATAAATAATTTTAAAAACCTGTTGGGTTTCTAACCACCGATGTTTGCTTCCTTAATGTCATATTTTATTGATAAATAATAACTAAGGAAATAGTATATTACGTACCTAGGCCAGAAAGTGGGGCTATTACTGACCGCGCTATATTATCGGCCGAGCCGAAGGCGAGGCCGGTAATGCGCGGTCAGATGTAGCCCCACTTTTTGGCCGTGGTACGTATACTTTTTTTCCTTACACCTCCGCCGAAAGTTCGTCACCACGGTTTTAGTTTTGTTAAAAATGATGTTTTAAAGATCCAGTCAAAGATTTAGTGCATTATGCATTATTGTTGATCGATCGGTCGCTCGAACAATACCACTTAAATGCACGTAGATGAGCGTTCATGGGTATAGGTATATCTATATGTATACGCTCGCCGAGACTGTAGTATATTATATAGAATCAGATTGGGCCGAGGATTTGTGCAGGTTGGTCGTGCTGGCAAAACGGGAGGAAGAGAAATCCGTTTAAATTCGAATTATGGATCCTATAAAGATTATTTTAAAAATCCTAATGTTTATATCCGTAAGTGAAAAATAAATCAGGTTATTATCAATAACTATTATAATTGTGATAGGCATAATTCGATTAAATAAAAGATTTCATAGTTTATTTTTGTAATATGACATGTATATACTACATTTACATACTAAACAAATCATTAAAGTGAAAGTAACTGATCAAAAAACATTAATTTGGTAGTTTTAATTTTGTGTTGTGTACTATGTTCATATGAAATTAATAAATTTATATGTACATGTAAATTGTGCAAAAAAAAAAATATATATATATACATCCAATAATTTATGTAAATAAATATCCAACGATTTTCTGTGTTGTATAAACTATAAAGGTTATAACTCCGTTAGCCGTATATATGTATTGTATAACTACTGCTGCTTCTCGGTGCTGAATATATAACTATATATATCTGCGCACTTCGTTCTGCGCACATATGGCAGGACTGATATGAGGCTTTTTCTAGCTCAAAATCGGGTCAGATGGAACGAACTTTCGGCGGAGGTGTAAGGAAAAATTTATTTCAAGTCACCGATGCTTGCTCGCCTAAAAGCACATTTTATCAATAAATAATGCTAAAAAACTGTTGGGTTTCTAATCACCGATGCTTGCTTTCCGAAGGTCAATTTTATTGATAAATAATGATTGAAAAAAGGTTAGCTTTTATTTTCTGATGCCTACTTGGCTACAGGCACATTTTGTTAATTAATAATACTAAAAAACTTATTGTTTATCATGTACACTCATGTCTACAATACTGTCCATAGTGTGTACTAAGTGTACACTGAAAATTATTCGTAGTGTACATACAAGTCCACTAGTGAAAAACCCCTCATTTATCACCATTTACCTACGAATATATACTAGTATGTTTTAATAGACGCTGTATAGTGCGAACCCCATTGAAAGATCTAACCTAGTGGGAAACGTTGGAAGATGCAATCATGTCGAAAAAGCTTGGCCAAATAACCTTTAAAGTTTTTTATTGACATTCGAATCCTAAATTCCTTGATAACACAGATTGCTTGAGATTCTTAGATTAGTAACCTAGTCTACTAATCATTAAACCAGCGGGGACTTTTAAATAACTGAAGGTGTAGTTATATTCCAAATTGTAACAATAGTTCAATCTTCATGAAACTTGATGCATAGACAAATTAACATCTAATTAATATAAGAATCCTTGTACATTTTTATTAAGCTAGGGTTGAGTTTTTTGGAGTCAAATTTGATGTTTATATTTTTGTTACTTTCAAATAAACAATAATAAATTTATGATTATGTCTTTCAACTACCTACATTATACAAAAAATGACAAACTTTTGATTGATAAAACTTTTTAAGGGTACACCCGTGAGAGAAGAAATCAATCAATAAGCGAAATAGAAACTGATATAAGTTATGTTTTCACACATGTGTGAAGACAGACGCTTATCAAACTTTAGAGCACTCATATCATAACTGAGTTTTGCATCGTACTTTTCGCTTCTATATTCACTATGAGTATGTCCACTGGCGCCGTTAGAAAAGTTACCGTATTTCCTTCTGAGCAGTTTTTTGTAATTACATTTGTAACTCCACCTGTAAACACACTTGTAAATACATTTCGAATTCCACTTGGAATTACTTAATTGTAGGGTTTTGGTTTTGAGAAGCCATGAGTAATTCCAAGAGGTATTACAAGTAACAATTAGATTTGATTTTTTTTATTCGGCAAAAAAGTTTTGTAGCGTTGTTGGTAAGCTTGCCAAAAAAAAAAAAAAAAAAAAACAATTCTTACCTTCTATATTTAGTTTTTTTTATTATATCGTTAGTACTGAATACACTTACGTTTGCCTTCAAGTTTTGCGTGTGTATGAAATGAATTAATCTAATTAACAATGACAATGTTGATAAAATAATTTGTTCTGCGCATGAATATAATAGCGCTGGATTGAATGCATGAGTATAATTTCTTCAATCTAAGCATTTTATATTCTACTGTATTACGATTCCAACATGTACCCACTGCAGGGTTTTTACTATCCTACGTCCCTAATCTCTACCTTCCTGATTCTTTTTTATGTAATTATCATCCTAATTCCCCAAGTATGCGAGTCTTTCGTAGAGGCTCCTTAGAAAGTTTCCCTCAGACGACTCCGTTATCCATCCTACTGAGTACTATTTACAGGGCACATTGATTGTCTCAAGCACACTCCAACTATTATCAAGTTTAATGAAAAGATATTTTTCCAATGAACTATCTAACTCGCTGCACCGACCTTTTTATAACTAACGGTGACTTTACCCGATGAGCTGGCCAGGTATTGGCTTTCCTTCAAAAAGGAAGCCCCTGGAGGTTCAGACATCACCAGAAAAATCGAATATTTGGTTGAAAAATGCGGTAAGTGGTGTTATCCTGGGTACTCATTCCATCGAAAGAGACCGAGAAGAAAATCTCGATGAATTTTCGACGGGATTCGAGAACCCACGACCCCTTGAGTATCTCCGGCTAGGAGGCTAGCACGCTAACCACTAAGCCATCGAAGCTCTACACGCGTTTTATAATTAAACATATGAAGTTTCAACATGTCACACGATTTAATTATAAAATTACATCCGTAATATCCGGGACCTTCTAACAAGCTCTGCCCTCATTGATCTTGCGTTTCAATGTTATGTTCAATAAAAATTAATGAGTCTAATGTATTTGATTCTAGATTAAATGCCCGGGTGAGGGCGAGAAAGAAGCACCATGTACAACCTAAACGTGAACGTGAACGCGAACCCTACAATAACTGGGGCGTTGGGGGCGAGCGCTGGTATCGGAGGCAGTAGTGGTGGTCTGCTGAGCGTTGCCGTGGCTACAGCGGGCGAAGTAACGCCTCGGACCCCCGAAATTGTCAACAGCCTCATAGCGATGACAAATCCGTTTGATGGCTACGCTGGTGGGTCTATTGCCAACTCGTGTGGTGGGCGTAGCAGAGATCGTACGGATTCAACGAGCAGTGGCGAACCCAGCCCGCCTAGTATTCAACATACCTGCAGCCAGCTTATCAAAGAAGGTATTTATATTATGTTTAATTACGGTTGAAATGAAAAAAACGGTTATTACTTATCCCTCTATAAATTTAAATCAATAAAAATTCACCGAAATCCAGTTAATATAATAAACTAGTGGAATGAGAAAAAACGTTAATTCAATTACGCACAGGTATTGACACAGTTAATTTTATTCATTTTTTAGGGAAAAAAAATGTCCTGAATATGATTTATTGAAAGATTAACATATAAATAAGGGTTGTTTTAATTTACTATATTTTCATACAAAAATATTGATATTCATAAAAGATATAATTATTCACAAAAAACTCTTAAAATAGTTAGTGCTAAACACCCTGTTCCCATTGTCAAAAATAATCGTTAATTTGAAGCAAAATTCTTTTGTAAAAATATTTTACTGGTCACAAAACTCCTGCCAAAATCTTGTATTTACTATCTATGAAGAACAAAATCTACTATTCCAAAAGGTTAGGTTATGCAATTTGTAGATGCCGAGAGGTTATGTTGTGCAATTTGTATATTTTCATAAAAAGGCTCGTAGATTCTTGAGTTCTTTTGTCAAAAATGTTCAAGATTTTTTCGATAAGATGAGCATCCTGGATGTTATCTATAAAAGGATTTCACATTAGGGCTGGTTCCAAAGACTCGCATTTCTAAAGACTTTTAAATTTTGTTACCAAATGTATTGAAAACTGCGTAAAAAACTTCTCTTACATTTTTTTGTAATTTTAATTTATGGTATAGAATGCAGACTTTTTTCTGGTGTAATGAAATATATAAAACATTCTCTAACACATATCATGATTTGATTCGATTTTTTTTTTTATTACATCGAAACTCTTTTAGGTTTGAAGTTGACGCTACAGACAAAAAGAAAGGCAAACGGCGTCGTTGACGAAAATAAAAAGCGAGCGAAACGTGAAGATGGTAGCGCCGACGACGAAGAGGAGAACGAGTCGAGTAACAGCAAGTCAAACGCTGGGGTAGGTATTCTGGTCTATTTTTCAATCCTTACACTATTATGATCAAAATTGTTAAAATAATTTTGCGTTTATCATTGACAGCTGACGCCTGAGGACGAAGAGCGTAGACGACGTCGGAGGGAGCGCAATAAAATAGCAGCTACGAAATGTCGCCTAAAAAAGCGCGAAAAAACGGTTATACTTGTGCAAGAGTCCGAGACTTTAGAGACGCAGAATCATGAGCTCAAGTCACAGATTCAAGAATTGGAGACGGAGAGGCGAAGGCTCGTCGATATGCTTAACCTGCACGGTCCAACGTGTCTCAAACAGCCAGCTCATACGGTATGTTACGTCAATTCGTCAATATGTATTTGCTTAACGAATTCATTGATTTATCGAGTAATTAGTTATTGGTTTATTGAGATTATAGTAATTGCAATTTTGAATTTCTTATCTTAGAATAGTTATCGAATCGTACCATCTCTCCCAATTCAATATGATTATTTCACTGAGCGTTTCGATTCCTAACCTAACTTAACCTCTCACACTTGTTATTTAGAAGACATTAATCATTACTCAAATAAAGGAAATTAATTAGTGAATGCTCAACATTTTTGGAAGTGATGGTCTTATTCGTTATAGTTTGAAACAGATTATTTGTTAACATATTTTTTTATTTGTACTTTATTTTGCAGCTCCAAAAATCTCCATTCTTATAATTTATTTAAAAGTCGTGTCTTGGATTTTGTTCGTCTTACATCTATTTCTAACAATTTTCTGTTTTGGTTTTTTTTTCTGTCCCGTTCCTTATTCTGTTTTATTATGCATTTATTTGCTCTGTGCATATTGTGGAAAAAATTCAAACTTCGATACCCAAATCTCATTTAGAACACGGCTATTAGCCCGACAGCAGAGCCAATAACATGGGTTTGGCTCTAGTGTTAGATAGATGCACGAGGGGGTCTTTCGGGGGTTTGTGTGGGATGCTCCACACAAATAACCACACACACATATATANCACTATTAATTTTTTCATTATATTTTATTGGTCATTTATTGAAATAAATTGATGTCAAAGTTAAGCTCTTCAACCAGAGAATATAGAAACACCTTCTATACATAGAGGGACGTGTTTCTATATTATCTGCTTCAACATACGGTCTTAAGGGAGTAATAGTTAAATGTGTGGGAGGCATTCCACATTACCGCCACCGTCCTTCTACTACCTGCCCCCCATAAATCAAGGAAAAATTCGTTTCATTTCTAAATTATTTTAACCCAATAAGTATTAGATCAAGCCCCCACCACCCCTCCATCGCCCCTCCACCGTCCCACCACACGATTTTTCCTTCCCCCCACCGCCCCTACATGATTTTTCTTGTGTTTCAATGCACTTCCATTGTCTACATAAAATCATTTTTATAATTATACGATATAATACGACCTTGTCATAAAAATATTCAAGTACTATGCTGGAATTTTTTTTTTTTTTTTTTTTTTTATTAAATTAAACACTCATACTTTGTTTACTTCTATTATGAACTGTTCTTTACTGTTTACCACAGACCAACTGAAGCTGATTTTTTTAACAACCATTTTTAACTTATGTGAAAGGTATTTATCTTTTTATGTAATTATTATTTTTACTTATACAATTCGTGTTTTTTAGTTTAAAAAGAACTTGTTTTTCTTCATTTTAAACCTTTTGCCTCCTACCTCAAATGCCATGTAATAGTATATTACGTACCAAGGGACTAAAGCAAGCCAGTTCGTGGCTGTTGTAGTGTGCGCCCGAGCGTAGCGAGGGCGCTACAAGCAATAGCCACTCGCTGGCTTGCTTTAGTCTCGCGGTGCGTATACACTTTTATATCACACTCAGTGGAAAGTTCGTTACATTGAGAGGGAGAGAGATAGAAGGAAAACAAGCCATTCATTATGCGGTTATAGGTTATATCACAAGAGTTTTTATAATTGTTTCCGATTGTGATATTTAGGATATTCCTGTATTTTTGTATAAAATATGGCAACAGTTTCGACAGTCATGTTTGAAGAGGATTCTTCTGACGAAGAAAACTTTAACGAGGATAAAGTAGGGGAAGGAAGAGACTTTGACTGTGAACGAAATGCCATTGTTCAAAATTTACTTCCCATAAAGTCGAGAGCATTGTATGAATATGCATACGCTCGATTCTTACAATGGAAGCATAAGAACAAGGACCTAATTATTTAACTCTTTTAATGAATGTGTTTCGAAATGTAATAATTTCAATAGTTTATTATACAAGATTGATAAAAATAAAGAACTGTAAAAATGCAGTTATTATTTAAAAATGTGTGAACAAAGAAAATTGTATAACAATTTTAATTATTTCCATTTATTCAGAATCTCATGTTTTTTTTTGTATAAAATACACCAGCAAACAGTACATTGGCTTCTTTTATCTTGTTGATATTTCCCAAATTTGTTTGTTTGCTGCAGTGTGGCGCCCTCGCTATGTTCGAGCACCGAACTACTTCAGGCACTTATTGGTTTATGTATATAGTAACATACAGTAAGATATAGATACGCATGCGTACACGCACTTATTACACAGTTTCTGTCCCTGTTTACAGGGAGAACAGTACGAACTTTACGCTTAGTGTGATATAAAGGATTATTATTCATTAATAGGCGGTTAGCGCGCGAAGCACGCCTGAGGGCGGAGAAAACTTAACATGATTTGTTGTTTATAAAAAAATGCATGATAATTAATAAAAAATCATCAACTCTTCGTGTTCTAGGACTCATATCAGCAATATACTGATTCGGGAGCCCCATTGCCGAGCTATCGAGAAAATTTTGTGCCAGCATTGAGTCAAACATCCAGTCAATCGGACTGTGCCATCGTATCTGACTTTGGATCGGTCAAAGTAGAAGATTTCGAACCTCCAAATTTTTTCAGACAAACAACACCATCAACAACAACACTTTACGGTAGTACGACAACAATGGCATCATCAGCTAACACGACGGATGTTACGGGCTGAGCTGCCTATAATCAAACTTGATACCATATATTTTTTCCTACTTTTTTCCACCTGTTACCTATACGTGATCTATATTTTTTTATTGGTTCGATGCCATCAAGAAAGTATAATAGGTATATGTTAATAATCGTACATAAAATGCTGAAAATTTTATCAAAGTATTAAATAGCGTATTGACAGCGTCAAACTGGTTTTCAGATATTTTTAAAATAACTTGTGAGAAAAATCAAGAGTGCGTAACAAATTATTTTTCACTTTTACTGTTGGATTGACATCCGTTGTTTCGTTTTTATACTTAAGAGATACCGTCGCCCACTCTGTGACAAAAAAATTACAGACTCGTTATTGTTTAAAACTCATGCACCGTGAAAGTGACAAAAAAGAGGATAGTATATAATATGTACTCCACTAGGTTGTAGCGACTTGCTGTTACTTAAGTGAGCTTGCAGAACTTTTTTTGACGCTATTATAAGTATACGGTATGTAAATATGCGTGAATCAGCATGCATGTGTGACAAGATCTTCTGACTCTGAAATGCTAGACGATGCATCATTGAGAATTAATAGTGATTTTTTACTTTCATGTAATTCTTTTATGAGTCAGTTAACCGAACGCCATAAATTTTTTGTTTTAATTTTCACGTAAACTTTTTTACATAGCGAATGAGGATAAATTGTATAAATATTCAACTCTTTCAAAAGCATGAATGATCTTACTTACAGTGTATTAAATATATTAACAAAGTTGAAGATAAGCGGTCTTTTCTAAACTTTCAGACATTCCGTTATTCTTCTTTAATCACATTACGATTACAAACGAGAATAATTATTTAAACGATTTTTTGATAACTTTACATAGTCAATTGATTGGAAACATTAAAATATATCAAAAAATTTTTCAATCAAAAAACTTTGCACATGAAGACGTTATGTGTAACGTAAACGTTGCTGAACATTTTAAAATACCTTGAGATTTATAACATCGAACTGTCGTGATCTGCAGCTTCGATTGGTTAAGGTAATTATTCATAACAGTAGTGCTATAATGTAACAAATATTTACCTTTAAAACAGAGCAAGGTGTGCTGTTTAATTAGCTAAGTTTAAATACTTGAAAACTAATTATATACTTATTTTTAAAAAATTTTCGAATATTCCATGTTTAATTTAATTTAGAGGACTAAAAAATTATAACCTAAAAATGGGTAGATTGTTAAGCTTTAGTTAACAAGAGTTAATTGTAAATGGGCTAAAATTCAGCTGGGATTCGCAACTTTTTTTTTGCGACGAAATTTTTATAGTAGTAACAAAAGTAAAGGTTTTTTCGATTCCTATTTTTTCGATAGTGACGATATAAACTTTATTGTTTTTCTATAACAGAAAATTTAAAAAAATTAATAGTTATATTGTACTGAGATCCACATAAATTTTTGACAGCAACAATAAGGTGTAAAAAAAGTATGAGATGAATTAAAAAAAATTTAAAAATCAATGTCTTCCCATTCGCTAACCAATTATCTCTATTGTTTACTTCAAGGACGGTCAGGAGTTCTATGAGAATTTGGGGATCACTATAGAACTTTGTGAACATGTTTTTTAAAGTGTCCTGAATCACTATTAATTTTTTCATTATATTTTATTGGTCATTTATTGAAATAAATTGATGTCAAAGTTAAGCTCTTCAACCAGAGAATATAGAAACACCTTCTATACATAGAGGGACGTGTTTCTATATTATCTGCTTCAACATACGGTCTTAAGGGAGTAAACCTTAATTTATTGTTGGACGCAGAAAAAAAAAAGTTTAATAATGCAGAGATATGAAAGAAACATATATGTTCATAAATTGTTAGTTTTACAATCGGTTGGAAAAATTTCGGCGCATGGTACGGTAAAGGTACCACTTAGAAACACTTAAAAAATTATGTTCCCCACATAAAACAGTAAGAAATTAATATAGTTCTAGATGATTGTTTATGAAAAAATTATTTCCGTATAATCTTTTAAGTGTCAACTTCTTTCAACAGTAAAAATTTTTATTTGTTTCATGTTCTGGTTAAAAAAAAAGATTATCGTGAAGTGCTGTTTCAAACCGGGACACATCAGAACATAACCTCAAACACATGATGCCCCTCGTATGAGACACACTGATTGCATATAAAATACGTGTGTGTTTCAAACGGGGGGCATTCTATTTTAAAATTAGGACATAAATTTTAGCGATATTTCATTCGACGAACACAATTCATTATTGAAGTTTTATCAAAAAACAAATTTAATAACATTATAAAAGGATTAAAAAATTAAAATACTAAGGATGAAGATTAAGCGCTTCGGAAACAAAATTTATGCGAGATTAGTCAATATTGTTTTTTTTTTCTAAAATTCGTAAGAAAACACTTGACAAAAACCGTTCCAAAGTGGTACCTTTACCGCATGGCGCATTTCAAAGAAAATCAATGTAAAACGAGAACGATTTATCGAGTTCATTGGCTTCGCAAGGAGGTATGTGGCAAGAGGGGTAGTGCTGCGTGAGGCCGGGGACACCCCTTTCCTCACCCCTCAGCAATGATACTCCTGACCGTCCTTAAATTACTTGAACCCTTATAAATCAAATAACTTGCTTTGTTTTTGAGACATTTGTTTTTATTAGACTGCTATGATTAAGTAACATTTAATGATTAAGTGTATTACATTTTTAATACAAGTTTTTACACAGTTCACACAGATTGATTAATTTAGGAGATAAGGATAGAAAATCATGTACTCGTCAGTCATTATTTTTTTTACATTTTTAAATTATTTTGGGGAAAATGGAAAAAATTCAATATTGCGAGTTAACAAAGATTATGTAAGTAGAGCTTCGTCAAATCGCGTATTTCGCAGGCGAATACCGCATTTTTCCAAGCTCGATGGAGAAAAATTAAAACGATGATACCGACTTGAAAAAATATTCCAAATACTTCATCATATCTCCCAGAAAACAAAAATCTTGTATTTCGTTTCATTAATTTGCAGCTCATATGATTATGCGAGTAATTTTATGTTGTAGGAAATTACTTAAGCTAAGTGCTTCAACATAAATGCTTGTGTATTACATAGTTCTATTTATTATTATGAGTGTTACGTAAGTTGGCAAATTATATTTATAGATTTATATATATTTGTAAAAAAGTATACAAGGAATGTATCAACAAATTTTTATTGTTACTGATTTCAATTACCATTAAAATTACAGAATGAAAAATAAACGACCTGAAGAATATATGCTTCGATACTAAGTTGACATAGAAATTTATTAAATATATAGCTGTAATTATGCACATGATTTGTATAAGGAGGTATATAATTCGTGGTGCTTATTAAATTTTTTTTTTTAATACAAAAACATATTCATAGTTGATGTTGAATATTCAAAATTTTATTTGTGCTACAAGCAGAATGTAAACATTTATCGATGTATCCCGAAAAAAAATTTAGATGCCATAACTGTGAAACTATACCAATGCACATGTAAACCATTATCTAGCTAATTAAGACACCGTAACAGGACCAACGAAAAGCACACTGAAGTACGATTTGCCTTTCATGACATAAGAAAAACAAATGAGAACTTCCGTGCATGCATCCAGAATAACTTTTCACTTCTAGCTCATTTTCTTTTTTTCCACAAAAAAGAATATGATGATAAGAAACTTTTATTCACATGTGCTTAGAAAAAATAAAAAAAAAAAACAGAAAAAAAGAAATCAAACAATCAATGTCTATATTCCAGTACAGAGATACTTACACACGTAAATATTAGATATACTTGTATGTCAAGCGCAATTTAAATGTAATAGTAGAATTGGTGACGATTCGTCGTTTACATAATTTAATATTATTGACAAAAACATATTTCAGTTACCTTTATATTGTGAAATGCATTTGCGACTGATTGATAAAACCGTCTATACACCTATTGTGATTCATATATTATGATGATATTTTTTTAATATAATACTGTAAAAAACAAGTTTATACTTTTTTTTAATGAAAATCTATCTATGTACTAAAAAAAAAAAAACCCAATAGAGTTGAAATTGTTAAATAATGTATTGTATACAGATTCTTGAAAATGTATTGGTTGAAAGATACAAAAACAACATTCTCTATTCATTAAGAATTTTACAAAAAAAAAAATGGATGCAAAAAAAATAAANCGTATGATTTTGCTTGTATTCTGTAATTATTTGTCTGTTAACCTTTTTTTAATTATTTTCATCACCTATAAGAAATTTTTCTAACTATTGGTCAAAGTAAAGCCGGATCAAATCTTTATCAATACAGTTTATAACATTCTCAATGAACTTTTACACTTGGAAGTTATAAATTGCTATTGATTTTTTGGCTCATTGACGGTGTTCCGTGGATATGTACTAAATATTAATATTTGTGTCCTGTACATTATATTGGTTTACATATTTTGAACGTAGAGTCAAATCACAGGAGTACGAAAACATTGACTAAATTTTAGCATGGAGATGTGCAATATAATGATTAAATATTAAGTAAGTTAAAAATTATATGATTTTCGTATACTTAACTTTATATTCTTAATAACGCAAATATTCCGTCTACAATCTTCAAAAGATCTTTTGTACAATATAGCAACCAAAAAATCAATAGCAATTTATAACTTCCAAGTGTAAAAGTTCATTGAGAATGTTATAAACTGTATTGATAAAGATTTGATCCGGCTTTACTTTGACCAATAGTTAGAAAAATTTCTTATAGGTGGTGAAAATAATTAAAAAAAGGTTAACAGACAAATAATTACAGAATACAAGCAAAATTATACGTGAAGAACTACTAGCATGAGCTGAAAACTTAGTTTCTGTCCAATTTTTCTTTTTTTTTCTGCAAAATCCAAGAATTTTATAAAAAAAATTGCAAGAGGTATTTTTTGTTTAAAATGGAACAATTAACCTAAGGAATTCTTCTTGGGTCGAAAACGAGAAATTTTTTTATTTTTTTATGTAAATTGTTAACAACAATTTCCCTGGCTCTGTTTAGCAGATCAAAACACGTTGATGATTACATGAAAACTAATGAAACATAAATTATATCCCGAAATTGTCGACGAAAGAATAACGCGTACCGAGAATTCATCAAATTCAGTGAATTTTCTATCTTTTTTATTTTTTTCTGAACAATCTAAGCATTTTACGAAAAAATAGCAAGAGGTATTTTTTGTTTAAAATGGACCAATCAACCTAAAGAAATTTTTTTTAGGTCGGAAACGTAAAATTTTTTTATTTGTTCATGTAAATTGTTAATAACAATCGACTCCCTGGAGTGCTTACTGGCCACTCTTTTAATTAATATATTTTTTGTAAATAACACAAGCGCCTGCCATCTGATGACCTGGAGTGCTTACTGGCCACTCTGTCAATTAATAAATTATCAATAAATAACGTAATCGCCTTTTACCCGATATCTTAGGGCGCTTACGAACTTGTCTGTTAAATAGTAAGCTAATAACCATTAACACAAGCGCTCATCACCCAATAAGCCGCTTGTATTATTAATTAATGATTAATTATTTTTCAGTGGCCAGGGAGTGCCCTTGGTCATCAGGCGATAGGTGCTGGTGTTATTGGTTTTCGATTATTTTTTTAATAGAGTGGCTAGTAAGCGCTCTGGCTCATTGGTTGATAGGCGCTTGTGTTATTATTCAATAATTTATTAATCAACAGAATGGCCAGTTAGTGCTCCGAGTCATTGGGTGGTAGGCACTTGTGTTATTTATTAGTAATTATATATTTAATAGATTGGCCAGTAAGCGCCCTGGGTTATCGGGTGATGTTTAGTTGTGTTATTAGTTCATAATTAATTATTTAATAGAGTGGCCAGTAAGCTTTCCGGGTCATCGGGTGATAGGTGTTTACGTTGTAGGACCTCATTTGAATTTGGCGCTTAAGTTCAGTACTAGTTTTTAGGTACATTAACCAAACACGGCTTAGTATAAGGGAACCGTAGGANTGCTTTCAAGATATATATTAATAACATGATATAATTATGCAAACGTCCGCATTATTCTACCGTTGTCCTCATAATTACCCTTACACACATGTGATGGTCCGCATAAGTAACCTCTGCACACACACACGCGCGCGCCCGCAATTGATGAGAGACTCTCGCCAACTAAAAAAAATTGTCTATCGAGAGAAACCACACTAGAGAGATTCCTATCTTAAAAAAACGATGGGTCACGTGATAAAACCTGCTTATTCGTCGTGTGATTGGCTGAGACTGCTCAAGCGGGAATAGATTTGAAAAATCATTTAAATTTGTAAGTTGATAAATATTACAATATTACGTGTTGCGACAAAGATATAATTATTTGACTTTTCTTCAAAAATATAGAAAATAATTGTTTGATTAAATTTTGGGGTTTGGCGTGCAGAGCGCGCAAGAGGCACAGCCCCCTAGTTTAAGAAACAGACGAAGCCTCGAAAAACGTGCTACTATTTATTTCAGATATAAGTATTCAGCTCTGAATTGCTGAGTTATACTGCATGGATATGCTGTCATCAATGGCACATTCAAAAATCGCCTCAGATTTATTGAGAATCATATCAATCACTTACACAGCAATAAAGACGCATCCAGTAGCGTGGGAGCGGTACGAGGTAAGTTTCTTTTTTACATGGCTTCAAAACCATTGGACCTTGGTTGCGGAAATAAGAAATTAGTTTCCCATATGTGCGAGCCAAGTAAGTAATGGCCAGGTCTCGAACTCGTGAGTATATTATGTTACCAACTTACCGAGCTCCAGGGTTACAAGAACCGCAGCCCCAACTACTGTGCTATCGTAGCCACTAAAATCATAGATTCGAATTTATGACTTCTTTCTTTGCATTCTCGAAGAATTTAAAACATTATAACCTTACGTGTAATAAAAAAATATCCTTTTCTTACCTCAGGCATTTTTGAGAGGCTAGTGTGTCCTCGCTAGGAAAAATAGGATTCGCCACATAAGTGCTATCGCTCCGAGGCTACCTTACGACCTGAAACCGCAAAATAGCCCGAGACGATAGCACTTATTCGACGAAAACTACCATTTCTTACCATGGGCATATAGTGCCCTCTGGTCCCAAGATACTTTATGCCCCAGGGTCCAAAGTGATTTACTGTGCGCAAAGGTGCAGTCACTGTGCCCACAGTCGCAAAATTGCACTTTACGCCCTCGATAAGAAAAACTTTATACGCGACTCGGGCACCAAAACATACAACAACCGCGCCCTTAGGGTGCTCATGTTTGTACTTTGTGCTCAAGTAACATAATGTACCATTTCTTTGTTGTAACTATTTTTGTCTGTATTTTTCTAACGCTTTCTCGAAGAAAATTGGTTTAAAATAACCAAAATATCGTTTGATAACATGTAACTTTGTTTATTTCACTTGCGGATAAAATGTTTAATTCAAAACTTATAGATTTTGTTTCTTTATATTTCTTTTGTGTTTGTTATTTTTGTCTACATACAGACAGGAAGTAACGAAAATAGTTATAAAATTATTGAATATTAGCGTTTCATAGTATATAGTTATTTATTTTATTTGACTTTTACTGTCAAAACATTAAGTTGTGTATTAAAAACTATAAAATAATATAAAACTTGTTTGAATACATGATATTGAGCTATAAAAATATATGGTCTCAAAATAAAATTTTTTAATTTAAATCACTCTTTTTGTTCCGGAAATCCGTGAAGTGATCGCGCCTTACATGCAATACTTGTACATATTTATTTAAATTTCCTCTTTCCTCTCGACTTCGTACAAACCGCAAACTTTGTTCGCTGGTACGGCCTTGTCTGTAAAAAAATTATTAAATTATAAGATACTCAAATAGTATAGATTCTCCCATCAGAAGTTAACAAAATACACGTTTTTTTACCAATCATTTTAGGTTTAGACAGATTCAAGTTTTTCATGATTTCAATAAACTCCTCGAGGGATTTAGTCAGCCGCGGATTGTAAGTTTTTTCCTCAGCTACTGTTGTTACTGTCAGTCCCTTGTAATCGTGAGCCGGATATAGTTTAAAGTTATCTGGCAACTTGAAGATTACCGAATGCACGGACTGATATAATGTTTCAGATGATCCTCCCTGGAATCGTTAAAATTTTTAGAGAAATTTCGTCATTAAAGTAATCCCCATGCTTGACAGGTGCTAATAAATAATTATAAAACTGCTAAAATTATCTCTCAATAGGTCCAGCTTTTCACAATGTCTACGTGGTAGTCCTATCTTATTATAAAAGGGAGGTAGTGATTAGTATCGAATTGAAGATTTGATTATATCAAACTGAACCTGAGACTTTATAAAATGTGTTGAAGTAAGTTGTAAAATTAGTTGGCGTGCGTCATGCGTTACGCTTGGCGCGCGTCGCGCCCTCTTCGAGGCTAGTTTTATAAAATGTCAAATACTTGGAGTGAGGGCAGAGCCCATGCAGCAAACACATTTTCTCAAAATTTCTTGTAAGTAGGTGTCTTGTAGAATTCTCATGTCCATCAGAAAGATATCTTTAGGGAATTTTACCCCAAAAACTCCCCAAAGATGTCTTTCTGATGGACAATAGAATTCTACAAGACACCTACAAGAAATCTTGAGAAAATGTGTTTGCTGGGAGCTATATATACGGTGTTACCATCTAACGGCGACGTCGTAATAGTCTTACTTAGAGCTCAATCGATAGACGCTATATTCTGGAGCTTCAGCTTAAGCGTACTTAATTACCATAAGCGTAATGGCACTCTAGTCTTCTCTGGCAACCCTTAAAAATTACAATACAAAATCTATGCTAATCTCTCTCTTAAGGGGTCAACGTAGGGGCCATACGCTTTTCTTATGCTGTTGAGATGAGAAGAGGTGAGTATACCAAAAGAACTAAGTGAGGTCAGATTGATAGTTGTAGAAGCAGCCAATGCAGCCATTACGTGTTCAGAGCCACTCTTGAATTTTGTTAGCGTCTTCTTGAAAGGTAGTCGAGATCATAATCTGGAATCTCGAATTCGTCCGAAATTGTTTAAACTACTTTTCCTGGAAAAATTTTTGTAAGATCTTTGGATTATCAACAAAAACGACCTTTAGCCACTTTTTTCTCAAGATGGTACATTCTGAGATATTAATTATTCAAATTAAAAAAAATGGCTATTTTTATCCATGAAAAACAATTTTAAAAAACAACAATTTTGATGTAGCCAAAGTTCTTAAGTATTCTATAAACATCCTTTTAACATATTTTTTTAAAAGAACTTTAGAAACATCAAAATTGTCATTTTTTCGTATTGTTTTTCATGGATGAGAATAGCTATCTTCACATTTTTTCGAACTTCAATAACTAATATCTCGGAAAGTATTAACTTTAGAGAAAAGTTGCAAGAGATCTTTTTTGTTCACAGTCTAAATATTCTAGAAAAATTTTTTCCGAAAGAAAATAAAAAATTTATGAAATTTGTTTCAACAATTTGGACCAAATTTTGAACTTGGCTCTCATTCCAGATTATGATCTAGATAACGTAGTTCTTCGTTTTTTAATCCTTTTAAAGTTCATCATCCTAATTTATTATTATGTATATACTAGTGGGGCTTCGCCCCCTGCGCGCTCNGAAACAGGACGTAGTCTTCATCTAGGAACAAAAAGTGCATAGTCTTTGTTCAGGACCAAAAAAGGGCATAGTTTTCGTCTGGACTAGAAAAAAGGACATAGTGTTCGCCTTGGACGTCGAAGGAGCATAGTTTTCGTGAAGAAAATTGTCCTGAACATGATCCTATTTTGGAAGTAAGAAACAATGTCAAATATTTTTTTATTTTTTAAATGTTAATGTGCAAAAATTACAAAAAATCGACCTTTCTGGGATTCATTCTTAACTTATTATAATTACAATAAACAAACTACTTTAAACTTATAGGTAATGGAAATCCTAAAAGTTTGAGACCACTTAATTTTTTCGCAGACGTAGGTCATGCAGCCTGAAAATTTACAGTATGTGTATACGCATTAAATGAATTTTATAACACTAGAAAAGTGTTTAATACAATTATATGTACTATGGTACAATTTTGATTTCGATGTGATCGAGCAGTGTTGGCACAGCGGTTTGTGTACTGTACTTAGTCACAGTGAGAACATTATAACCAGCCCAGCAAACAAAAGGTGTCCAAAAGACGTCTGATGAATTGTCTTTCTCTAGCCATCGTAAAGTAAAGTCTGAAAGACACCTTAAAGATGTCTTTCAGAAATTTGGTAAAGTAATCTGCCTTAAGACGTCTGAAAGTTATCTAATGCAAGAAATCTTGTCCAAAGTTCTTCTAAGATAACTTTAAGAAATCTTTGTTAAGGATTTTGAACAAAAAATTAATATAAAATAAAAATTTTATATATGTATTATATATGCATGCAGTAAAATTATAAAACGTGTTCATCTGGAATTACATAATAAGTAAAATTAATTTACTAAATACATTTGCAAGATCTTGTGCCGGGCACTCAAAGTATTATTTTTGCAAGTAAGAGTATTAATTTTGCTAAAATATATTTGCAGGAATATTAAATAACATGTAATTACAGCTATATATTATATCTCATCACACTGTAATTACATGTTATTAATATTCCTTCAAATATTAATAACATGTAATTACAGCTATATATTATATCTCATCACACTGTAGGTTATATGAAAATTTTGTTGTTAGAACAGAAAAATCAATCAAAAATCAAGTGATAAACAATGACTGATTACGATAAGGAAAGAAGTACTTAATTATTGCTAGTAGACAAAATGTATGCTAGTGTAAAAGATTATAAACAAATAATACGAGTAAATAAAATCTTTACTAGTATAACAGATTTTAAGTCAATTAGGTAATTGCATTTTTAAAATGTCTACTGTGATCTCTTTATAATACTTGATTACAATTCTATGAGATTCAACGCCCAGCAGGCATTATTTATTCTAAATGAATTCATTTTGAATTCAGAATATTTTAATGAATTCTACAGGTTGTCATAATATGAGCTAAATAAATTTTTAATGAATTCATAATCTCATCAGGTTATGTCATGTGTCTTGAGTTCGTAAAGAATTCTTAAAGAATTCTTTTAAAGAAACTTTTTATTACTTTTGTGGGGAGAGCTGCTAAAAGACCATTAAAAAGAATTCATTTAAAGTTCGTTAAGAATACATTGATCATTCTTTAGTACATGTAATGAATTCATTTACTGTCCCTAAGGAATTCATTTAAAAAAATGTTGGTACATACTTTTTATCAATTTGCTATACAGTAACAACAGAAAAAATAATTTTTGCATCATATTTATTTTCTAATATTTTTTCAACATGTAACAAATGTTAGAATCTCTATGTTTAGAATATAATTATATTATATGACTACGAATAATAGTGTAACTTTAAACAAATCATAAATTTATAAAATAGCACTAATCGTTTTACTTATCAAACATGTTGTAAACATAAATCTCATTAATTAGTTACAGCATTGACGGATGTTTAAACTACAAACTACTCATCAATAAGAAAATAATCACTACTTTCTTATAATGTAGAGTATACAAACTTCTGATAAACGGTTGTTTGTTCGCTTGTACCTAATTCAGTGTGAGATCTAGCAAATAATTGAATACAAAAAAAAATTTTTCTAAATGATTATGAAACACATGTTAGTAACAACGCAATCTCTTAAATCAATAAACCCAGTAATAATTTTTAGGGTGCTTAGGTACGTCTCAAGAAAATACGATGGTCTAGGCTCTGACAATAATGACTACAAAAAAGTTGCATCGTATTTTACATACTGATATTAATTACTCTTAGNTTTAAGACATCTTACTAGATTTCTGAAAGACTACTTTCAGGTGGACATTAGAAGTTTATAAGACTACTATAAGTTGACAATTACGAAATCTTGTAAGATATCTTACGTCTTTTCAAGATTACTTTAAGACGTCCATCAGACGCCTTTTGTTTACTCAGATGTGTCTTAAAAAAAAGAATAATTTTGAACTGAAATCACGCGGTTATGATTCAAATAATATTTGTTGGTTGTAAACGTAAATGGCTTATTGTGAGTTATTACCACAATAATTAATGTTTTTTAAATTTAAAGTTACAAATTCATGACACTATCCTTGGTTTGGAAAAAAATGTAAAATATAAAACGTGGTAATAACGGTGTAATGTACAGACTTACTACGTTACACCGTATTTAAAAAGAGTAATTTATACAAAAAAAGATAAAAATAAACGTAGTACGAAGTGGAAAAAACTTAATGATGAAATAGTCATTACTGTTTGTGAGTTAAAAAACTACTACTACTACTCCTACATCAGATTTGTCTAGCTTTTTCAAAAACTCAAAATGAACCATCAAACACTTACTTGTTAAAAGCGAATAAACGCTAACCGAAGGAATGGAGAAATTAGCCCAAATTATAGGCTTATTTGTTTACTTTAGTTTGAAATCTGTACGATGAGAGTGGCATTGCTCAATGCACACAAGTATGTATACATGTAATGATTGTGAGGAATGAATTACTGGACTTTTTTAATAATACTTTTACTTGGCAATTTTTGTAAAAACTTTAACTATTTTCTCTTTTGGATTAAAATTTTGTAATCAGGGCCATTAGGTGTTTAAATGCTTGTGAAAGGGTGACTTATCAACGTACGTCTAACTTCTCTCAAAATCCACCAACGCTATATATGACAATTAAAATTTACATAAGGTATAAGTAAATTTCAGAAGAGGTGAGAGTCAGCTTCCAGGGGCTAGAGAGTAAATAAATGTCGTATGCGCAAACCGAATTACAATATTACAAATACAGAGGGTGTATATTATAATTAAGTAATATATATACCTGAAAGTCTGTTCTGCCGCAGCCTCTAATCAGCAGAGTATCGCCAGTAAACGCGATTCCTTGTTTTTCGCAGACGTAGGTCATGCAGCCTGAAAATTTACAGTATGTGTATACGCATTAAATGAATTTTATAACACTAGAAAAGTGTTTAATGGGTAAGATTCATTTTTAGGAATTATTAAGGAATTAAAAAAATAAATAAATTAGTCTTTACTTATTTAACTTATGTATTTTTGCCATTACAGCTATTTTGGTACACTGTATCTTCATCAGTCGGCGTGTATTTCTAGATTGATTTTTGCCTATCAGCGTACAATTTTACATACGATGCAGTACATGTACTCATAATAAATTATTAACCATCAATTGTCCAAACTAAAAAGAATGTATATGTACATATTCAAGGTAGAAAATAAATTTAATAACGTTAATCTATTGAATTTAATTGACTATTGAATAATACGTTGTCGTCTTTCATTTTCATTAATTTATAAAGTTTATAATAAATTACGTTTAGTACATTTATTACACGTGTAACAATTATTAGATTGACTCCTGAATTAAATGAAAAATAAAAGGTCCATGAATGAAGTTTTTCTTTTGCTTGTTAGACGACATCATCACGAGACAACATATATGTGGCGACATTCTAAATAAAATTTGTGATATGTTTAAGTAATATCGCTTAAAAACTGTCTGCATAATGAACTTACAAACCTTGTATGAAAAAAAAAAAAAAAAAGAAAACAATAAAAGTAAATAAGACAAAAACAATAAGTCAGGAGTTTTTACATGTTTTGAAATGTGCTAGTTTTATACAAAAATCTACACAGATCAAACAGGTAGATCATTTGAACTGTTTGAGTTATTTAATAAAAGCCCTTTATATGAAAAAACTTGTACTTTGATACAGATGTAATAAAAACATTAAATTAAGTTTATTAAAAACTTTCGAAGTACACAAAAGAAAGAACGACAATGTATTATTTAATAGTCAGTAAAATTAAATAGTTCACCGGTATTAAACATGCTACAAACATTCTTAACGTGCACATTCTTGTTTGTTTGGAGTTTTTATTACAAACAATTAATTTAACATTGTCAGGCAAAACAAACCAGTCTAAAAATATCCAACGTTTGACGAAGGGTTCATGTACAAAAATAGATATAATAAAAAAATAAATAAATTATACTACGTGAAGACCAATCCATGTAAATTCAAGTTGTTTAAATAGAAAAGTGAATCTTAAGAATTTATATTTATTATTGTTTTTGATATTTTTTTCTTTCACCATAAAAGAGCTAGAGATTGGGTTAGAAAATTAGTAAGTAATTAATGTGCTTATAAAAAAGTTTTTCTTACTGCGGTTGTAAGAAATTGGTTGTGCCTAAGTGTATGTACAGCATATCAGTTAAGATATATGAGTATGATAAATGTTTAAAAAATATTTTATAAAAACTCCGAGACCTTCATCACAACACATCGACACCCTCGACAAGGTATATGCCATGCTTCGAAGCCTGGACGAAAAATATGCCCCTTTCTTGAGTTCAGACGAAAACTATGCCTTTTACGTTAATTCAGATAAAGAGTATGCCTTTTTTTAATCCCGGACGAAGACTGCATTTTTCCGACTCCAAAAGAAGACTGTGACCTTTTGTGAAATCCGGACGAAGACATTTTTGAAGATATTAATACAAAATTATAAGAATGTCGCAGGATTGGAACACGTATATTGGAGACTTTTGACTGATTATGAATCTATTATTTAACTTTCAAATGAAATTAATTGAAAATCGGTATTTCCTTACGTTATCATTAAAAATAATTGTCTACCCTATTAACGTATATAATTATTATTACATTATTGATGCATTTTCAATTTTTAGAAAAATAGCTGAGCTAATGTTGTAAACTATTGCAAAACATTATAGCATTCATTTTAAAACAGAAAAAAATTAATTTATACCAGGACGCGAAAAAGAGATATAGTTTTCGTCCAAGCTAAAGAAAAGAGCATTGCTTTCATCCAGACGCGAGAACAGGGCATAGTTTTCGTTCAGATTCCAAAAAAAGGCATAGCTTAAGTCCAGACTTAGAAAAAGTGCTTGGTCTTCGTCCAGACTTGAGAAAAGGGCATAGTCTTCGTCAGGACTCCAGGAAATAAGGGTATAGTTTTCGTCAATATTCCAAAAAAGGGTATAGTCTTCGTTCGGACGCCAGAAAAGGGTGTAGTTTTAGTCCAGACCCAGAAAAAGGGCTTAGTCTTCGTCTAGACTCGAGAAAAGGGCATAGTCTTCGTCAGGACTCCAGGAAAGGGCATAGTTATCGTTCAAATTTCGAAAAAAAGGGCAACGTTTTCGTCTGGACCTGAGAAAACGGTTTAGTCTTCATCTGGATTTGAAAAAAAAGAGCGAAGTCTTCGACAAAAACCGAAACAGGACGTAGTCTTCATCTAGGAACAAAAAGTGCATAGTCTTTGTTCAGGACCAAAAAAGGGCATAGTTTTCGTCTGGACTAGAAAAAAGGACATAGTGTTCGCCTTGGACGTCGAAGGAGCATAGTTTTCGTGAAGAAAATTGTCCTGAACATGATCCTATTTTGGAAGTAAGAAACAATGTCAAATATTTTTTTATTTTTTAAATGTTAATGTGCAAAAATTACAAAAAATCGACCTTTCTGGGATTCATTCTTAACTTATTATAATTACAATAAACAAACTACTTTAAACTTATAGGTAATGGAAATCCTAAAAGTTTGAGACCACTTAATCTGGTCAATAATTTATTGACATACCCATAAATTAGTGTCGAAAAATTCCAAATTTTAAATTAATGTTTTGATTGGTACATGAATAAAAAGATTCAAAAAAAAATCAAATTAATTACACGTAGTAAAATAGTATCTCAAACAAATCATGTGATTCGGCATGACCGTTTGATGAACGGATAAACAGATTTCAAAAAGCGTTAATTTTTTTAATTTGCAGTCTAATAATTTGTATGCACTAAATTGTATACATTACAGACAAATATTTTTTAACAGCAATTTACATACACAATTTTGTATGTCTTTTAGAAATCTCGATCACTACAAATCGAAACTCCACAGTCGTTAAATTGCCATCCACCCAAAACGTTTTTTTGTAAGCGTTGCATTTTTATTACTTAGGGTGACAATAATGATTATTTCGACTGAAAACTTTGTGTTCTCCGTGTATAGTGCAAAAAATTCTAATTTTAATGTTATTCCGAAGAGTTTAACGCACATAAATTTTTTTTTTAATTTTTAAAAATAATCACTTTCCGTCATAACACAGATATTTTTGAATTCGTATATTTTCTTGTTCGTTTATTTACACCTACTGTGTACATATTAATTTACCTGCCGTATGTCCAGGAGTCATAAAGGCTGTCAAGGAATTTTTGCCAAACGGCACACGACCGCCGTGATTCAACAGAATATCAGCTTGCGCACCGCTTTCTTTCGATATAACGGACATGCATCCTGGCAAGAGTCGTTTCAATGTGCCGGTGCCGGTTATATGGTCCGCGTGCACGTGAGTATTCACTTCAATAATTACAAAATTTTCATTGCTTCAAAAATACCATACGTGCTTATAACAATTAAGTACTTGTATCATAAACTTACATGCGTAAACCAAATTCAATCCCAGCTCTCGAATGAGTTCCGAGTCGCGCTCGGCCCATTCTATCACCGGATCGATTATCACCGATTCTTTAGAGTCGACGTCGGCCAACAAATAAGTGTAAGTGCAAGACACTGGATCGAACATCTGTGTGATAATTGTACGATTTGAAATGAAATTTATTTATTCTGATGGCGTTGGGTCGCGTCGCGCGGCTGCGGTTTGCCGTACAATGAAACTAGAAATTTATTTACATCTTTGCCGCCGAAGAATATCATTGTTATCGATCGATGGTAAAATCAGTAGACAGTTCGATTGGTCTTCTAACCTGACTATACTACTGAAATATATTGTTCAATAATTAAAAAAAAAGAGAGTTAACTTCGTGGAAAACAATCATTTTGTTTCCAAACACTGTGTGTTGCAAACCTACGTATATATGTATCACATTCGATTGTACGTTCAACCGATTTTTGTTCGAATTTGAATAATTTTTGTGGTATTTCAATGAAGAAATAAGAAATCAACCGTACCTACTTATGCAAATTTGCAAATGTGATTCAAAGAATAATAATGAACAACAAAACTTGACGCGCAAGACTTATGCATATAAATAAGCATAAGTCTAACTTTTCGACAATTATCGACTCACCTGTCGGAACAAAAAATCTGACGTTTGACCCACATTTCTGGTTACAGTCGTATAACATCTGGAGGCCGTTGAACAAAAATTGAAAATTTTCCTGGCACAAAACATTTTAGAATAAAATATTTGAGTAAGTACTTGAAAAATCTCAAATTTTAGTCGACGTGTTCACAAAATCATCTTGGCCTTTCCAATCTTTCCATATTGCGTAAGTATATATATACGAAAAGACAAAAAGCACAAGCCAAGCACTGAACGCTACACTTACACAGTGATGGTAATGTAAGAGATGTCAACACAAGATATTACACCATCTGTTTGGACGTAATATTGATCTCAGATGATTGTATGCCAACAAATAATGCAATATATAAATATAGTTACCTTTAAGACTGTACATTATTTTAGAGAAAGGATTCGTTGGTACATAAAAAATTTTACAGTTTTTTTATTTTACAATATAATTTCAATTAATTGAAAATTTTAATATACTTTTTTAAGATAAAATTTAAAAGTTGCATGACAGTTTTTAAAGTACATTTTACGATCGCATCATTAAAATTACTTAAAAAACATAAATGCATAAACAACATTACTAATAATAATTTTATGAACCACAAATTTCACCTATTATTTATGTGCAATAAGTATGATATAAATATAATTACTCCACTGAACATTAATAAATAACGAACAAAGACTTTGTTTTTGCATTCACAACACTGCTCAAGGCTGTTGTAAAAAAACAAAGAAAAAACGCAAGTTAAATACAGTAACTAATAAAAAAAATATATTTGCGTTCTTTTTATCAATTGATTCCTATTTTTTTTTGTTCTGCAATTCACATTACCGTGAAATTTTCAAGCCTATACCGTGAACATGACGTGCAAATTTTACATTTGATACGAAATTCGTGGTAAAGACTTTTGGTCAAATACCCACGTAACTGCATAGTATAAATGCACCACAGATGCTTATAATAATCAGTACAAGAACCAGCCAGAATGGCAGCGTATCTAAAAATAAAAAATAAAAGAAGCAGATTATACAAGACATTTGACATTTATAGTACAAGTACAAAAATATCAAAGCTAGCTTACGTCTGTAAGGTATACTGTGTATACAAATCTTGTTGTCTACGGAGCAGCTGATAACAGCAGCTTCTGTGTTACTTGTGATAGCTGGTCCATCAAGTTTGGTTGGAAGAAATTCAAGATTTGTAATAAACATGCTGTGCGCGTTCGGCACATGCAGTACCTTTTGCAAACTAAAGGCTATGAACATATCTACAGAGCCAGTGGACATTGTTCCTACAGCTACGAATTTACCATCGTCAGAGACAGCCAGCTCTGACAGGACCTCCTTGTAGGTGACAAGTCGTTTAATTGTTCCTTGTTCTAGATTATCCCAGAGCTGCAGGAAGCCATAGTGCATTTTGTTTTTTCTGTCTTTTGCTGGCAAAGAATTGGATAGCGTGAACAAATGAGGAGGCCGTTTGAGATCTTCTGCAGTTCTTTGGAAACGACATCTCTTGAAGATGGACTTTTGCGTTTCCGAGGGATTCCAGTTAAGCTGTTTGATTTTTGAGCCACTGTTCACGTCCCAGATTATCAGCTTGCCATCTTTAGCTACGGTAGCAAGTTGTTGGCTTCTGGGACAAAAGTCGATGTCATCGATTTCTTTATCATGGCCTCTCAATTGGTGAAGCTTGTCCAGTTGTGGAAACTTCCAAAGCCTTATGTATCCATCTGTTCCACCTGTTGCCATAACTTTCCCATTTAGGCTTATCCTAACGACCCTCTGTACAGGTTGCATACTTCTACAAGTATAGAGTAAACAAAAATTTCCACAGAACAAAAGAGATTTTTATTACAGTTGTATTTGAAAGTTTACCCAAAGTCAGTTTGAACTTTATTCACAGGCTGAACCACGAGCTGCAGTTTTTTGCGTTTAGGCTTAAATTGACTGGTCAAGTCCTCAATGCTGTCTTTTCTAGGCACACTCGCCTTGGATTCACTGTTCCTCCTTTGCCTGAGATCCTCTTTACCCGAGAAAGAAGTTTTTTTCGGGATCTCTCCGTTCTCAGCAACTACAACTTTGGCCTGTATGTTGTACAACTGACAGACACTCTCCTGTCCCGCAGCCAGCCACATCTTTCTGCCCTCGTCGTTGTACGTAGCAGTGTTCATGACGACGTTGCCACCAGTTTCGTATCTCGTGACCTCTTCAGCCACAAAGTGCGTGCCGTTGTGAGCTAGTTCGAATATTTCCTGGAAAGTAATTGAAAAACAAACTACGTGAAACTTCTTTGGGCTGTGGTGACGGAGAAAATGTACACCAAGTGACTTACAAATCCATTGGCAATGCCTGTTTTGGCCGAACCACCGCCACCACCAACGAGTACGTGCCTGCTGGTGAGCATTTCCAAGCTGTAGGGTGGAAAGTTGACTTTGGCCAGGAGGCCGTCGTTTTTTCTTTTCCACGACATTGTTGAATTTTTCCTTTTCAACCCTTTTTCGATGATTAAACTATCGATTGTCCTTGAACCACCAAGGGAGCATCACTTTTGAGAGATGTTTTACCTCTTGCCTGATATCTTCTCTCACAAGGTAAATGTCATAGTGTCGCCCTGTCCTGTCTACTACTCTCAGTCCTGACTCCTGAGTCCTGATAGTCTTTCACTACACTAAAACATTGCAAATGCACAGTGTACATCTGCTCCAGTCCTCTGCCAACACGAATGTTTCACTCTAACCTAAATATCTCTTGAGCCTGCCAGTCACTCGAGAAAATATATGGATCATCTCACGAAGACTACGATACTTTAGGGCGTAAAATGAGATTTTTTATAAATACAGGGTTTATTTTTTTCAGTGTTATGTGAGTTCCAAATTAGCTGAAAACTTTCGAGTCCGACTCTACTTGTGAATGAAATTTTTAAGAGCTACGCAAATGACACTTGGCCTGTTTTTTTTTTTTTTTTTTTTTGCATCTTACAAAAGCAAATACATTTTTTCGACTAAACCTTGAAAACATAAAAAAAATAAGTTAGCGTCTCTTGAAAAATTTTTGACTCTGAATTTGGTAATTCAATCCATTGACGATACCGTTTTTTAACATAATTGGCATCAGGGAATATTGGAGTTTTTCTGAAATGATCCATGTATAAGTATGTAATGTCATACTATGTATATGTGTATAAAATTCTGACTGTAATGTAAACGAAAACAGATGACTAGGTAAACATTCCTGTAAAGTGGCAAACGAATTGAAATATCGCGGTCGTTTTTATATTTACAAATTGTGAAGACTTTTTTCATAATTCGCAAATTTATTTAAGTTACAAATTGCGTTGTTAATGTGATACTTACCTACAGTGTAATTAAAAATCTTTAGTTTTAGTCTTCCATGAGAGAGGCACGGTTAATAACAATAAAGAATAACTTTTAGTTATGGTAAAAAAAAAGGTGAGGGATAGTTTAAGAGAAGGGAATTAATGAAAATTTTCCTTCAGATCTCAAATTTTGTTAAAAAAACAATTTTTTTTTGTTCCTAGGTGTAGAAAATTTACTACAGAAACAAAATGGCAAATAAAGCCGTCATTATTTCTGGCGAAGCTCCAGAATCCGATGATGAGTCCATCAGTGGAATAACAGGACTTGGATTTCCCTTGATTCTAGCTTCAAACTCATGCGGGACTATGATTCAGGGGGAAGCAAAAGAATCAGATGATGAAACAAATAGCGTGAGCAGTTCAAACTACGTTATGAATCCCACCACTTGTTCTGCTGAAATTAAGAGTCGCAAAAGTGAGAAGAGTTATGTGAAGTACAACAGTTTGTTACACAAAAAGCTAAGAGAGTGTAATAAATCATTGGACAAGAATATCAAGGAGCTGATAAGCACTACAATTTCTAATGGAATGGAAGAATTAGCCGAAACAAACAAGCAGCTGGTGAAAAGTGAATTGGTGTTACAAGAGACCGTTTGCAAGTTACAAACTGCTGCTATCAGATTTGAAGATACTCTGAATAATTTAGCTGAAATTTTGGATGAAGGTTATTTAAAACATGTTAAAGTGTAACGTTGTAATCTGTGCATCATATTAATGCATTGCATTTCATCAAATTATTTATAAAAAAGTTTATGTGTAAATATGAAAAGTTGATTTTTTCATTCTACCATTTATGGCATTATGGATTTTTACCAACTAAGAATCAGATAAATAAATAAAGCAATTCTGTACAAAAGATAATGCTTTTATTAGGAAAATTTACAAAATGTACAAATTTTTTTCGAGAGGGCATAAAAAAAAATTAATACGACAAAAATTAATTAAGCTAATTCTTGTTTTTCCCACAGCAAAATATCAGAACCGTTGGCAGCTAGAAAACTATTTTTCGTAGGATGAGTAGACAGGGAAATAGTTGGATGTTTTGAGGATTTGTCGTCAAACAAATGCATCACAACTTGACGAGATATGAGATCCCAGGCCCAGACTCTGCCATCGGCAGAACCCGACAACACCAGTTTATCATCATAATTGACCGTAGATTCGATACAGTAGTCATTTTTAGTCAAACCCTCGTACTCTCCCAAAAGTTCCCCAGTGTCCTTGTCAATTAGTTTAACTGTTCCATCGGCACAACTCACAACAATACAACGATTATCCTTAGTAAAACTAGCACACGTGATGATTTCTCCCATGCAATCCGTGACGAGCCTTCCTTCTCTGATATCATACCTCCTCACCTTGGAATCGTAAGATGCTGTCAATATCTCGTGATCTGATATCCTAACGGACGATACAGAATCTTTGGCATCTGCCAGTACTTGTACCGGAGTCAACGTTTTTGCCCTTATATCCCACAGCATCACAGAATTGTCCTGTGAGCCTGAAACTATCATTGTTGAGAGTTCATTGAAACGTACAGTTGTGACTATCCCTGTGTGACATCTAAGCCTTCGCACAGGCGTCCCAGCAATCACATCCCAGATAATGATTGACTTGTCAACACTGCAAGATGCTATCTGACTCTGATCACAGGATGAACATGCATCCATCACTTCGTTGCCATGTCCGGCATATGTTTTCAACAGTATGCTCTTATATGGATTCCATAATTTCACTTTTTTATTCGATCCACTTGTTATACAGTAAGCTCCGTCTTCGCTGAATCTCACTGCCCTAATGGCACCTTGGTTACAATAAATTCTGGCTGTGCAATTATAATCTGAATTCATTTTTTTTTTTTATTTCCAATAACTTACCAACTTCTTTGGCATTAAGTTGAATCCTTTCAATTCACCTTGATCATAGAAACAGAAAACAAACTAAGTTAGTACATACTCATACACTTCCCAAGTTGAATTCATAAAGTTTTGGACATGTGTTGACCTACTGACTGCACTAACTAGTAATGTGCTTATTATTGTAGTGCATAAGTAAAACATAATTCACAAGTAACTTTGCATACCAAAGAATCGCGCCACCACAACCTACTTAACTAAGTAACTTTAAGAACATTTTTTTTATCATGGTACCTATTAGCCTATTAGGTTCTTACAGAGCCAAGATTCGACCACAATTTTGTCAAATTTATCAAGCAATACATACGCAACGCTTCAAGGATATATTATTATTATTGACTAACCGAGTGTCTAGCTATTTTCAGCTTGATATTTATCTTACTGTTTAAATATTCTATTGCACTGGTTGATGGACATTCTTCGTTTCTTACATATATTTCGCGGGCTCTTGGAGTCTTGGACACACATCACTGCAGGAGTGCGGCGTGCGCCCACACTAAAGCGGCTGGGGGGTGGACGAGTTTGCAGCTAATGGTATGCTAGAGATCTGCCACTGTGTGGTTTGTCGTCTGTATCTGCCCCTTTACACAGTTAAGTATATATGTATGTACATCTCTTGGATGCAGTCGATGTCGATGGTGCTGTTGATGGGGTTGCCAATGAATAAATTCGTTGATGTTACGTTTTTATTTTTGGGAAGCAGTGAAGTAATAATTTCTAAAGATAATAAGCATCTGCGGGAGTTAAGGTCCAAGGCAGTGTTGCAGGAGTCATCCTCTCGACACGTTGGCTAAAGTCAAGGTTAGTGAGATTTTTCTCTTTGCCAATTTTGATTGCGTTTAAGCCCCAAGATGCAGAATAATTTCTAACCTCTGCCTTTTGAGGCTCAGCATATGCTTTTATTCCACACAAGAAATTGTTTTTTGTGATATAATATTTCAGAGCATATTTGTGCTTAGTAAGTGGTGCCGTTTCATAAACACGAAATCACAGTTTATTATTAGGCCACTGTTGGTTACAACAGCCACACTTTGGCAAATATTCATTTTGTTGGCTTCACAACTTTTGAATTTTTACCTTCTTACATTGTTCGTACATATAGGTATATCTACTAAATGATCACAAAGTGTACTGCTTCACTTAATTTTAGGGGACTGTTATCTTATAAAAACTTATGTAATTATTATCCCGAAACATTTTTGTTCATGAATGAATGATTGCTTTTACAGAATAACCTATCGAAATGTCGGATACAGAGGGGAGTGCGTACTCGGATAATGAGAGCGAGAGAGGAGACAAAGGTGGCAGCGACAGTGAAAACCAGAGGTCCGAGGCTGGCAGTCCAGCTAGGTCCAGATCACGTAGTGGCTCGAGAAGTAGAAGCAGATCGGTCACGTCGAGATCGAGGAGCCATTCGAGAGTTAGATCTGCCTCCAGGTCAAGATCTAGGTCTCGATCTAGATCGAAGTCTGGGTCCAGATCTAGATCGAGATCAAGGTCCAGGTCGCGTTCTGGCTCACGGTCCGGGTAAGCATTTTTTTTATCCATTGTTTGTTCAAATCTCTGGAGAAAAAATAAAAATTGACTCATCAAGTTTGCAATGAAATTAATTTTTTCGCAGTTCTGCTAGAGATGACGAGGCAGAGGAAGCTCACTCTGGAGAAGAAGAACCAGAGGCAGAGGAAGAGCCCGAGGGTGAGGATCTAGACGAATATGACGAGGAAGAAGAAGAAGATGACGAAGACAACGACAAGCCGAGGAAAAAGAAGAGAAAGAAGGGGGTGTACGATTTCATTATCCAAGAAGCGGAGGTCGACGACGAGCCCGAGGACGACGAGGAGTGGGAGGATGGTGCTCAAGAAATCGGCATCGTCGGCAACGAGATCGACGAGGTTGGTCTTACTGCCCGGGAGATAGAAGGTCGCCGGCGTGGCACCAACCTCTGGGACTCCCAGAAGGAAGACGAGATCGAGGAGTACCTTAGAAATAAGTACGCCAACGAGTCGGCCGCAGCTCATCGCTTCGGTGATGGTGGCGAAGAGATGAGCGATGAGATCACGCAGCATTCACTCCTCCCTGACATCAAGGATCCAAACTTGTGGATGGTCAAGTGTCGCTTGGGAGAAGAAAAAGCGACCGTTCTCTTGTTGATGAGAAAATTTTTGACTTACCAATTTTCTGGCGAACCATTGCAAATTAAATCCGTCGTCGCACCCGAAGGTGTCAAAGGGTACATTTACATCGAAGCTTTCAAGCAGCCTCACGTCAAGGCGGCCATCGAGCACGTTGGCAGCTTGAGAATGGGAATTTGGAAGCAGCAGATGGTTCCCATCAAGGAGATGACGGACGTACTTCGCGTCGTCAAGGAACAGACCGGCCTAAAGGCCAAACAGTGGGTGAGGCTTAAAAGAGGTGTATACAAAGATGACATTGCCCAAGTCGACTATGTGGATCTAGCTCAGAACCAAGTACACCTGAAGCTGTTGCCGAGGATAGACTATACGCGTCCTCGCGGCGCTCTAAGAACGGCCCAAAGTGAGTCCGAGGCCGCAAAAAGGAAAAAGAAAAGAAGACCACCCGCGAAACCTTTCGATCCCGAGGCCATAAGAGCCATTGGCGGAGAAGTGACCAGCGACGGTGATTTCCTCATTTTCGAGGGCAATCGCTACAGTCGCAAGGGCTTCTTGTACAAGAACTTTACCACGAGCGCCGTCATAGCCGAGGGCGTGAAACCAACGCTATCCGAGCTCGAAAAATTCGAGGAGCAGCCGGAGGGCGTCGATCTCGAGCTGAGCAGTGCCCCCGTGACCGGGGTGTCTCACGGCAAGGACGACCACACGATAACGCACACCTTCAGCACCGGCGACGTGGTCGAAGTTTGCGTCGGCGAGTTGTCGAATCTGCGGGGCAAAGTCGTCTCCATCGACGGCAACATGATCATGGTGATGCCGCAGCACGAGGACTTGAAGGAGGTCCTGGGCTTTCACTCGAACGAGGTGCGCAAGCACTTTGAGCAAGGGGATCACGTGAGGGTCGTCGCGGGCAGGTACGAAAGCGACACCGGGCTCGTGGTTCGCGTCGAGCCGAACCGCGTGGTGCTATTCTCCGATCTGTCGATGCACGAGCTCGAGGTGTTGCCCCGTGACTTGCAGCTCTGTGCCGACATGGCCACGGGTGTCGACAGCCTCGGTCAGTTCCAATGGGGCGACCTCGTCCAACTCGACCCCCAGTCGGTCGGCGTGATCGTGCGCCTCGAGCGCGAAAGCTTCCACGTGCTGTCCATGCACGGCAAGGTCGTCGAGGCCCGGCCCCAAGGTCTGATCAAACGCCGTGAGAACCGCAACACCGAGGCCCTCGACTCGCAACTAAACACCATTCAGAAGAAGGACATCGTCAAGGTCGTCGACGGCCCGCACTCGGGCCGAGGTGGGGAGATCAAGCATCTCTACAGGAGTTTCGCCTTCCTCTACTCCAACACCTTCATCGACAACGGTGGTATTTTCGTGTGCAAAACGCGACACCTACAGCTCGCCGGTGGCATGAAAGCCAGCGGCATGTCCGCCTCACCTGCCGTCGGTGGCTTCATGTCCCCGAGAATCACGTCGCCGATGCATCCCAGCGGTGGTGGCTTCGGCAGAGGCGGTGGTGGCCGAGGAAGGGGCCGCGGGGGCGGGGCTCGCCGTGATCGCGAAATCATCGGCACTACCATCAAAATCACAGGTGGACCCTACAAGGGCAACGTCGGCATCGTCAAGGACGCGACCGAAAGCACGGCTCGTGTCGAGCTGCACTCTACCTGCCAGACCATCTCGGTCGATCGCTCGCACATTGCCAACGTTGGCGTACCTACCAAGGACGGACGCTTCACCAGCTACAAGGACACCCCGGCTTACGGCACCGGCAGCCAGACACCCATGTACTCGGGCAAAACTCCGATGCACGGCTCTCAGACGCCTATGTACGAGAGTAAGTATCCGTTTGATCTTGTATTGTTTATTTTACCTTTTTTTTCTCCAATTATCTTTGAATGCAGAGTTAACTTTAAATGTTTTTTGTTTCCGTAGCTGGTTCGCGTACGCCTCATTACGGCTCGATGACGCCGTCGCACGACGCTGGCTCTCGCACGCCTGGCCAGTCCGGTGCCTGGGATCCTACGATAAATAACACCCCAGCACGAACGAGCGACTTTGATGGCTACAACATAGAGGAGGGCTCGCCAGCCTATGCTCCAAATTACCCGTCCGGCGGACCATTCACACCGCAGACTCCGGGCACGATGTACGGCTCGGAGCGAAGCTTTGGCCCATACCAGCCCAGCCCTAGTCCCGTGGCGAGCGCTACCGCTAGTCCAAGTCCCGCTGCCTACGGCAGCACACCTTCGCCTGCCGGTACTGGGTATACGACGAGCCCACACGGAGCATTTGCCTCGCCCTCTCCTATGGGTTACAGTCCAATGACTCCGGGCACTGCGGGCAGCCCGTACAATCCGCAAACGCCGGGCTCGAGCATAGAAACTGGCCACAGCTCCGGAGTATATGGCACAGAATGGCACACGACAGACATTGAGGTCAGGATTCGCGACTCCAACGATGATTCGGACCTTGCTGGACAGCAGGGATACATTACAACGGTGTCTGTAAGTGTTGATTGTTCAATGGTTATCTGTGTGCTTGTTCGTGTTTAAAGAAGGATTAATGATTTCTCCTTTGATTTTTAGGGTGGAATGTGTACAGTATTCCTGCCGAGCGAAGACAGGACCGTCAACATCATATGCGATCAGCTGGAGCCCGTCGTTCCGTCGCAAAATGACAAGGTCAAAGTCATCATTGGCGAGGACCGAGAATCCGTCGGTACGCTATTGTCCATTGACAATCAAGAGGGTGTGTTCAAATCTACCGCCGGTGAAGTGAAAATGTTGCAGCTGAAATTCTTGTGTAAGATGAGGTCATAATTGGCAGATCCAAGCTGAGTATCCTGTTAACTTGAATAAGAAGTTACATTACTTATTGCGTGAATTAGTAATTGTAAATTTTGTCATTTAAGTGGGGGGTCTGCCCATATTTATGCGATTCTATTGACGTCAATTTAACAGTTGTACATAGCATGTATTTAGTTTTATTAGGATCAAGCCCTCTTTTAATTCACGTGGTTTATTACGTTTGTATTCTGTAAACTTGATACACTTGAGTGATATCTATATGTTTTTTTTCAAATTTATTACAATGATTTTTAACTTCAATTTTAATATTGAAATGGTCTAGTTTTTGAAAATATTTTATGGTTACATGTGCTTCAGGTAACTTTCGATTTTTATTGCACAAGGGACTTATTCAAATTGTTTAGTATTTATTTTTAATTTATAAAAATGTTACTGACAAAAAAATACAATTTTTTAAATTAAATTCATCTTGAATCTTTATTTCCCTTTGTCTCTCAAAAGTCTCAAATCCACCAAATTTGTTGATCTAACTCACAATCCACTTACTTTCAATATTCCTCTACAGTAACTTAATGAATCAACTAGAGCAAGCATGGCTATTTTTGTTTCCAATATTTTTTTTGTTATTTTCATAAAACACAGGAAGCAGAACCAAGACGATAATTCACATATTAATAAACTATCGAAGCTTATTGGAATGGTGGTTAATAACATAACAAGTCTATGTCTTAATTCGCTTTGAGCGCAATTCCGAAATCGTATCATCCATTTTAACCACAACAGATAATGAGTCACAACAAGGAGCTATTGCTGAAGCCACTGACTTGGAAGAACATGTGGGTATATATATCTATATATATAAGCATTGTGAAATCGAGCTTCCGGATCCATTCACCATGTGGCCAACCCTTAAATGTCGCTTTGCTAGAAGCAGTACAAGCATATGGAAATTAATTCATAGTACTGTCCTTTTCTAATCACGACCAATCGTTCTCAAAGTGCCCAGTGGGGGCGCGATTTCGGAATTGCGCTCAAAGCAAGCGAATATAAACAAAAGAATCATAGCATTGTTTATTGAAGATACCGTAAATAAAGAGCACAAATATATCTCTAAGCAATAAAAAAATACCTTGCTTTTATCTTATAGATTAGTTACTAAAAAAAATTATACTATGTACAGATAACAATTTGTAAAAAAAAAAGTACAACTAGATATCGCCGTGGGTGCGTTCCGTTTCAACTTCCGTTGGCTTTGCCAATTGCCAATTGATCGAGGTTCGCATAGAGATATATAAGAATTTTCTTATGGTTATATCTCTATGGGTTTTTCTCTTGCACATATTCGAAATATTCGAATTCGCTTCAATTCGCTGGACCTGGAACCTGGAACTTTATTACTTTATTAACTTTAAGCGCAATTCCGAAATCGTGCCCCTACTGGGCACTTTGAGAACGATTGGTCGTGGTTAGAAAAGGACAGTACTATGAATTAATTTCCACATGCTTGTAGAAAAGCGACATTTAAGGGTTGGCCACCTTGTGAATGGAGCTGGAAGCTCGATTTCTCTCGTGCCCAACACCCAACTGCCCACTGTCCAGTGGGGGCGCGATTTCGGAATTGCGCTCAAAGCGAACAACAGTGGACAATACACAGCCATTGTAAACGCACCTTGATCATGCATAAAGGTAACACTGTAGTTCACCTAAATCCGTTGTTCCACCTAAGACTCTGAAAGCGTGGAGGGGGTACCCAGTCCAGCTCCTCCCAAGTGCTATGGCGTGTTCGATTATTTGACTTCACATGCATTGAGAGATACTTTCCATTTACGTGCACAGTGTACGTTTGGCGTTCAGCCGCGTGGTGGCGTGTCGACACCCAACTAGCTGAGTGAATACCGAGCGCTCAGCTCACTCAGCTTTCAGATTTGTGAGTGAACGCACTCGACGGGCCGTACGAGTGTCTAACCGTCACTGAGAATATCATACGTATATATGTACGTACACGCGATAGACATTGCTGATTTCGAAGAACAGTATTTCTTCAAGTATTTCTTCAAGAAAGTGTTGTTACTGGAGCAGGAAAAGTTGACTAATTAGTGTAAAATAAGTATTTTTTACGTGCTTTTGATTCACTTAAAGACATACTAACAGTACCTCTATAATTCAGAGTAAGTATACTTGTTGTTTGTCTTTTTTTTCATGTGCCGTTATAAGCGATAAGTTAAATGATATTTTTTCAGTTCAATGCTATTGTGTCATGTGCAATCTTGAATAAATGGCAAGTGCAACATAAGATGGCAGATGTATTTAAAAAATATTAAAAGTTATTGAACGATTTATTGATGAAATAAAGTTTTGTAAAAAAAAAATTCCGTCTTACACTTATTACTTAAATTTAATTTCTTGTACAAGTAACGATAGCAATGCTGTCACCCTTCAAACTAAAATGATGAACATCATGTATATCCATGCACATATAAATACGTATGTATACATATGATATTCTCAGTGTCGGTTAGACACTCGTACGGCCCGTCGAGTGCGTTCACTCAGATTTGTGAGTGAACGAAATTTGTTCCTCTGAAAGCTGAGTGAGCGCTCGGTATTCACTCANTTATTTCTTCTTTTTTTCCTCTTTTTAAAGACAAATGTTGTTTAACTAAAGTACTTATTAATGATGTAACATATAAATTAGGAACTGTAATAGTAGCTTGTATCGGAGAAAATAATCCTGAATTTGGAGAAGTGCAAGAAATTTGCAAAGTTGAAGATGAAATATATTTCTTATACGTTCCATTCAAAATAATTGGCTTCGATACGCATTTTTTTGCTTATAGCGTTTTCAAAAATATAAATGAAAAAAAAGTTATCTCTTATCAAAAATTACATGACCGATATCCTTGTATAATTGTAAAAAAAGTCGATTGTTTGTACGTTGCCCCTAGGCATCGATTGCAAAGTCTAGTGCGACGGATTAAAAAATATTAAAAGTTATTGAACGATTTATTGATGAGATAAAGTTTTGTAAAAAAAAAATTCCGTCTTACACTTATTACTTAAATTTAATTTCTGGTACAAGTAACGGTAGCAATGCTGTCACCCTTCAAACTAAAATGATAAACATCATGTATATGCATGCACATGTAAATACGTATATTTATATATGATATTCTCAGTGTCGGTTAGACACTCGTACGGCCCGTCGAGTGCGTTCACTCAGATTTTTGAGTGAACGAAATTTGTTCCTCTGAAAGAGCTTCCGTAATGAGTGAGCTGAGTAAGCTGAGTGAGCGCTCGGTATTCACTCAGCTAGTTGGGTGTCGACACGCCACCACGCGGCTGAACGCCAAACGTACACTGTGCACGTAAATAGAAAGTATCTCTATCTCTCAGTGTGTGACATATTGTATATGTACAGTACTATATATATTAACGACAAGTCATATTGTTGACAAGCCCAGAAAAGCAGATTAATTTGCATCACTTGCACCAGCATCTTGCAGTTAAATACCGTGTCGGCTGCTGTGCTGGGGCCGTACCATATAAATAATATTTTTCTGTACATCGGCCTATATGTTATAACATAGACCCGCGAAGCTAAAAAAAGTTATATGGTACGGCTCCTGGGCTTGTCAACAATATGATACATATATATAGTACTGCACATATATATATCACATGTGAAGTCAAATAATCGAACACGCCTTAGCACTTGGGAGGAGCTGGACAGGGACAGGGTACCCCCTCTACGCTTTCAGAGTCTTAAGTGGAACAACGGATTCAGGTGAACTACAGTGTTACTGCATAAATCTGACGTTTGTATTGAGATTCCAAAAGGTCACGTGACTCTCGATATATATATATATTAAGGTAATGTCATCTCGAAAACATGTTATTGAAAGGCTTTTATCTTAATACTATCGCTGAACATGTAAAAAAAATAAAAATAGAATTGCACCCATAAGGCCTGTGTTATTTTTCCCTCAAGTGACTATATATTATATACCGCGAGAGTCACGTGACCTTTTGGAATCCAATAGCAGAGAACTAATCTCTGGCATTTCTGCGTTTAGTGTTAATACTAAGTACCCAACTACCCAAGTGCTCAAGTTCAAGTGTGAGAAAGTAAGTACTTGTTGTTAATCATTTTTATATTTCATCTGATTATTTGTGTCATTGAAAAATTTTTAATTAAATGTATATCTGCTTTTTAAATGATCAATTATTCAAATATTTTCAGAAGTCAGTGTCGTATATTGCTTGAAGTTGAGAACCAGCTGCAGCCTAATATGGATTTCGGAAATGTTGTATTTATTAATAGAACAAGTAAAAAAGTAGACTGTGCTTTTGTCCCTTTCAATTCGAGTTACTCTGAATAGACACAAATTTTGTATTATTTTTGGTAATCTACTGTAAAATGGGAAAAAACAAAAGCGAGTTCCATAGAAAAAATAGAAATGATACAGTCAACCGTAATACATTGAAAAAGAGGAAAGAAATTAACGCAGAGTGTGAAAAACTTTTGCGACTTAGTAGTCATCCATCTTATTTAAACAATCTGTGGGAAAATTATTTGGAAATATCAAGTTGCTTGGAAAATATAAGGAAACTTGAAAGCGTAAGAATAGATGCAGTTGAAAGGTTTGATGCAACTAATGATTTTTTAATTTGGCTAAAGGAAAATGGAGCAAAAATTGATAATATCAGCATACACAAATTTCCAGACTACGATTTGGGACTAAAAGCTGAAAAAGATTTTGAAGAAAATGATTTGTTACTTGAAATTCCAAAACAGTTGATTTTCAGTGTCTACAGAGCTGCTCCAGAACTGAAAGACATACAGAATGATGTGATGATTCAGCACATGCCTCAAGTAGCTCTGGCTATTTCTCTTTTGATTGAAAAAAAAAGGGAAGATTCAAAGTGGAAGCCATACTTAAATATTTTGCCAAAAAAATATTGTACAGTGCTATACATGAATGTAAAAGATATGATGGAACTGAAAGGAAGTCCTAGCTTTGAACCTGCCTTGAAACAGTGTAGAAACATAGCTAGACAATATTCGTACTTTCACAAGCTTTTTCACAATAACGAGAGTTCTGTCTCAAAATTATTAGGTGATGACTTTACTTACGAAGATTACAGGTGGGCGGTATCCACTGTTATGACTAGACAAAATATAATCCCAAGCGAAGATGGGTCGCAAATGATTCACAGCCTCATTCCAATGTGGGACATGTGCAATCACCAAGAGGGAAGGATAACAACAAACTTCAATGAAGCATCCAATTCCTGCGAATGCCATGCTATGAGAGACTTCAAGTCGGGGGAACAAATCTTTATTTATTATGGACCCAGGACCAACACAGAGTTCTTTGTTCACTCTGGATTTGTGCACCCTGGGAATCAAAATGACGATTTTGTTTTACGTCTGGGTGTTAGTAAAGCAGATGCATTGGGGAACGAGAGAGCTGAGCTTCTTACCAAAATAAATCTACTGCCAATTAGCGACTATTCTCTGAAGCCAGATCAGGGGCTAATTTCTGGACCTTTGCTGGGATTCCTCAGGATTTTCAATATGACCAAAGAAGAACTCCATCACTGGCTCCAATCTGATGCTGTGCACGACATCACTAAAGTTAACTGTGAAATTGAAAAGTCCTTAGATGAGAAAGCCATCAAATTTCTTAAAACCAGAATAATTATTCTGCTTACTCAATACCCTAAAACACAAGAGGACTGTGATAAATTGCTTCATTCGACGCAAGATCCTTGTAGGAAACTTGTGTATCAAATGAAAATTTTGGAGAGAAATATATTAAACAGGATACTTTTAGGTTTTGAAAAGCCTACCAAAGTTTAACATAATCATATGTATTATGAATAAATTTCAAAATCAAATTTGGAGTGTAACAAATTCACACTAAAAATGTACAATTTTGCTGCTTTGAAGTAAACAGTACCAGAATTGGTGTATATTTTTTGCAAAGTATTGAAAATAGAACTTTGATGTTTCTTTAGGGAGTGGAGCATATTACGCAAAAACTTGAACTGCATTTGATTGATTTTTGTAAATATTGACTATTGATATATTATGTGTGTGTATGTATTAACTATTGATGCGTTACTTATGTACATGTATACATATGTTTTGCTTGTATTGTTGCTTATCTTGATTTTATTATGAAAATATATTGAATTTAATATTATTGAGTATAATTTTTTGACATTTTGTATTGATTGTATTTGAAGTGCAGAATACTGGCTAAATTGAATAATATTTTATCGATTGCAACACATCAATTTTTTAAGCTGACAGCATTAGAATAAGTGCCTGATTCTTATCATAGCGATCATAGCTTCTCACGTTAAATTTTACGATGTTGAAACCATTAAAATGCCCGAAAAACGGTCGGGTTGGGGGTAAAACAAAGCATATGATAGCCTCGCGTCGAGGCTTAGAAAAACCGTCAATTCATATAAAATTTACATGAGCTATTGGCGCTGTTTGTTTAATTAAATCTCATGTAGATGCCATCGTTTGACAGGGCCTAACAGGAGCTCATTTTTTTTTGTTTATGTAATGTCTATTTAAAGAATTCACGAATGGCATAACAAATTTCGGAATTTTTCATCAAAAAACGGCCTTTAAAAAGAGTTACTTTTTTTCCAATATCTAATACATATACATCAGCATAAAACTGGTATATTATAAAAGCTGGAATTTTTATACGAACTAAAAAAAAATTCATTGTTATCAAATGTTTAAAATCCGAAGTCATTTAACAAGTTTTTTTAAATGCTTTTATTGGCATAGACGTTGGAAATTTGGACAGCGGCTAGTTTAACACTTGAAATTTTATATCCTGCATTTTGTTGCTGAAAATGTAACATTTTTACGGTCTAATTTTAATGTTTATTGACTAGCGTCTGACCGAGTCGTGATGGTACGTCTCACGTCTGTCATTTCTCACTAGGATTTTTTCGATCGAATTACTTTAAATTCGCACCGCAAGAAAAAAGCTGTAACTCGGCCGCTTGTCATCCGATTTTGACGATTTTTTTATTTTATTTTAGGGAGCCTGATAAATAACAACTATTGTATTGCTATACTTGATAATTTANTAAATAATTTTCGAAACCTAGAAAATGTTTGGTAATGATTAGTAAATAGTTTTCGAAACCTAGAAAATGTTTGGTAATGATTAGTAAATAGTTTTCGAAACCTAGAAAATGTTTTATATGAACAAATGGTACATTACGTCACTAGAGCACTAAGTACAAACATGAGCACCTGAAGGGCGTGATTGTTGTATGTTGGTGCCCAAGTCGCGTATAATGTTTTTCTTACCGAAGGCGCAAAGTGCAATTTTACGCCTGACTAATCACTTTGGGCTCAGAGGGTGCAAAAAACTTTTCTGCCCGTGGGGCCAAAGTGATTCTAAGGGCGCAAAGTGTGACCCGAGGGTGTGATTGAGTTCTTCCATGTACACGCAATAGCTAAAATAGCTTTCGAGATTTACTGTCATAATATGCTTTTTTTTGAACATCAAAAAGTTATCTTTCTCCTTTCTGTTACTTTTTTGTCATAAGGTTGGTGTTGTGATGGTAAATATTGAACGCAATATTAAGCACTCAATCAGACCCGGGGGGGGGTGAGACGTTTCGAAATTGTTCAACTTCGGTACAGCAGATCGAAACTCCGTAGGTGCGTATGTGGCGTCTCACATCTCTCGTGCTTCGGACTCTACTCGCCAGGTGGCCGGGCCCGTAATAGTTCGCTCCCGTCAAGCGGTGAAATTCCCGCACGATTAGTATATAAGCAAGATCGAGTCAATCTGAGCCCACACCTCTCCTGTGTCTAAGGCAGGGAGCACGTCATCAGCCTTACTGATGAGTCCTGGCGTGCTCCCGGGACGAAACATCAAACCACCTTTTTCTCTCTTATAGACGACCTCTTCGATCTCTATACGTATACTTACCACACATTTTTCTTCTGCCTTGTCAGCATCGCGTATAGGGAAACGTGGGAATGCTCAAGTTGTCGACTAAGAATTTCGAGAAAATAAAGCCAGTACAAAAATTAAATAAGGATGGTATACTTTATTTATAATACACAAAAATTAGCACGCATTCTTAACAGTACAAATTCACAGGTATTACAAAAGGCACTAGTTTGCTTTTATAGAGTCTTTCTAGTACAACACACATTTTTTTTACCATTTAAATTACGCTATAAATATACTTTGGTTTTAATTTAAAAACAAAAATTAAGAAAGAAAGTAATGCTTTGTTTAACTACCTTGCAAAAAACCAGTGTCCTACTTTATTTAATTATAAAAAAGAGAATAATAAACTATCATACAGTTATTTACACGATATTTATTTCAATTCTTTTTTTTTTTTTTTCTTTCGCTAAAGCTTAAATTTTGCAGTTCAGGTACTTGGTTATAGATGCAGGCTCTGCTGAATGTCTGGGAAGCAGCGAAGGTGTGGATCATATGAAAAACTGTTAACGCCACTTAAGAACCAGAAAAAATAAAAAAAATAAATATTCACGTTTTCATACGAAATAATATCACATGGTAGAATTAATTAAAGATTACATACTTTGACGGTTTTTCTCTTACGGGTGGCGAGTGTCCGGAAGCTCCAATAGACCGCGCCCTTGACAATGATGCAAGAGATTGTCCTTCCACGTTTCCAAGCACGACTTTTGCACCAACTCTTATACCAGTTCTCCACCGCAGGATCAACCACTTTATTCGACTGAGGCTTATCACCAGGAACACAACGCTGCGGAATCTCACCTTTGCGTTTCGACGACGTGGCCCTTGACGTGTTATCTTCCGCTGACTTTGCGTTAGCTGAGCTAAAAAGGCAAATGTGTTCTCCTCGGCATACTGGTATCCGGCTATTATACAGAGCAGGTAGTTCTTTTGGTAAATCAGAGCTTTCCAGCGACTTTTAGAACGCAGGTATTGTCCATAAAAGTGCTTCACCTGAATCGAAGTATTTTCGTGTAAAAGATTGATAATAATCCGTAATATTTGCAAATTTTTAGTTGAAACTTACTTTTTCCTCGGTATCATCTCTTATAACTTGAGGTTGATGTACTTTTATTTTTTGCGACAGTTGCGTTTCTAAGAATCGCACCTGACGTAAATACTTTTCGTTTTCTTCCCGGAGTTGAGTATTCATTTCACATAAATGCACCTTTTCTATTGTCAGTCTATCAATAATTGATTCTAGATTCTGAAATAACAATAAACTCAACAGTTGCGATTCCGACACTCAGTTTGCACATTGTTTCAAGCGTCAGGCTAGACATTAAAAGGCTATATGTACTCTTTTAAAGTAAAAGTCCATAAAAATGAAAAAATAAGGGTTTAGTATCAGACAGCTTTGACTATGTAAAAGATATTACGGTATTCTATGATATATCTTGAACTACTTAAAGTCATGCATACAAGTAGTGACAAAATTATCAATTGAAATGTATTATAACTTAGTCTTAAAATATCTCTAAAACATGTAACACAAAACAAAACGATTTTAATTGATTAGTTGGATAGAAACAACATGCTACTACGGGTTTAACTTTATAACTTTACTCGAATTTCAGCATTTGTGTCAACACGGGTTTAACGATAAAATTTTACATGAAACTCATGTGCTGGCGTAAAAGATTAGACAAAAAAACTTTAATTTTTTACGATGAAAAAAAATCTGTTAGTAGGGTGATGTTATAGGTGAATTTTAAGTTAATAGTCGAGATGATAATAAGTTTTGAGATAACATAATACCAAGCCTGACGCATGAAACAACACCTGAATACTGTACTCACCTTTAATCTCTGATAAATTTTACCAGGTGAACTATTCCTGTTCGGAGACGAATTTTCCCTCTTCTCTTCGGTAAGTTCCACCTCTCTCCTCAGATGCATTTTCAGCTCCTTGTCCTGATCTGCAATAGTGGACCTTAGTTTGTTCTCCTCCGTTTTTGCTGAAGTGAGTTGTTCGATGAGCTCGGTCTCTTTGTCTATCAGAGACTCAATGGCGCGCGACAATTGCTGTTCCCTTTCAGAAGACTCGGACAATTGTTGCTTCAACGTCTTCATATCAGCCTCAAAATCAACGATGAGATCGTGCGAGTTCTTGAGTTCTCGCCTCAGAGTCTTCAGTTCCGAATGTTCGCTGCCTCTTCGTTGATTACGCTTGTTTTCAGCGTCATTTACAGTCTTAAGAATCGACTTTTGCCAATCGCATTCCTTAGTTTTGGTTTTGAGCTCAGCTTTGACCTGCTGCAAATCATTTTTGAGCCGATCACTTTCTAAAGTTGCACTGTCCAAGCTCTCAGCTAGTTTTTTTCTTTCCTCTTCCAACTCCTCGCACTGCTTTTCAAGTCGTCCTTTCTCGGCTTCAAGTTTTCTCAGAGTCGCTTGACTCTCCTCGTATTTGCGTTTTTCCGCTTCCAATTCTTTCTCTAATCCCAATTGTTGCTTTTCCTGCGCACTCTCGAATTTTGACTGGTTGGCATTGCGCAAGTCACCAGCAACATCGAAATTCTTCCGTTCCAAGAGAAGCTTGTTTCTTGTTTCCAGTGAATCTTCCAACGCGACTCTAAGTTGGGATATTAAATCCGTGTCTCTTGCTTTGTTCTCCCGAGCCAACTGATTTTCCCTCTGCAGCTGCAACTGCAAAGATCTAACCGAGTGTCTTTCCTTGGCGAGATCTTCTTCCAATTTCGCAACTCTTTTCGACTCGTCTTCGACATCCGCCTTTAACTGCACCACTCGATTCTCATACTCGGTAATCTGAGACGTAAGCATCTCTCGCTCAATCTCAAGGTCATCCTTGAGCCGGTTTAGTTCCTCGATTTCTTTGTTGGCGAACTTCAAATCGTTGCACCTCAAAACATCTTCCGGTTCGCTGTCGATGACGTTGAGCAGCTGCTGATCCAGCCTGGCAGACAGGTTGAGCTGCTGCTGGACCATCTCGGTAATGTCGTTGTCCTCTTCGTTAGGTCGCCTCAAGTTGTTCATCATCTCCAAATCGGTCTTCAGCTTCACAATTATTTCCGACAGCTCAGCATTTTTCCGACGTTCGTCCTTCAACTTTTTCCGGAGTTCCACAACGTTTCCTGACTCCTTCATCTTGTTGTTGATAGTTTCCAGAGAAAGGTGCAAGCTTTTACTGTCGTCCGTCATCTTTCGTATGATTTTATCTTTTTCCTTAAGGTACTCTTGCAGGTGGAAAATTTCTTGATTTTTTTCACTGGGCGATGAGCTTCCAGAAAAATTGCTCCTTCGCGTCACCTCCTCCAGCCTGCGAATCATTTGATCGCGACTGTTGAGGCACTCATTCAGTCTCCTTATCTCATTCTGATGATCCACGATCTTCTGCTGGAGGAGCTCGAATTGCCTTTGATAGTTGAACAGATCTTTGTTCTCGTTTTCGATCTCTGTGACACGGGTCTGCAGTGTTTCGATGGTTGCATCTTTGCCGGAGATGATCTCATGGAGATTCGTGATTTCCTCAAGTTTTTCCTGCAAAGCGGCTTCGCTACTCTTGCGGAGCATCTTTTCCTCGTAGAATATATTTTCGCTGATCCTCACTTTTTCTACGTAATCCTCGAGCTTTTCCGTCGTAAATTTCAACACGTTTTCAACTTCGTAAAGGTCATTTTTTATCTTAGCCTCGTTGTCTTTAGTCTTCTTGTACTCGGTTTCGTAGAAGAGCCTGTCATGATTCAACGACTCGATGTTTTCTCGCAACTGTTGAACGTTACCCTGTATCTCCATCAGCTCCACTTCCCTCTCGTTCAGAGCACTAGTCTTAGCATTTAGTTCTGCTTTTATTTCACAAAGATGCGATTCAAGTTCTTGGATGCACTGAGTCGCTGCAGGCGTGCTGTGTGGTGGGTCACTACTTGCGTGGTTAGTTACGAGCAGGCTGCCAAATTTACCGTGCCTCGGACAAACGACGTCGCTATGATCCTCGGACGTCGTGGTCGACTCGTGAGTCTCAGTCTCGTCGGCGTCAGAAGTTGGACTGGCCGCGGCAACGACCATCTTGTCCAAAATTTGCATGTGAGGAGTATCCACCTGCAACATACGTAAATCATTTTACTTTACACATCCTTTTTTAAATGAATTTATTCACATTTGTAAAAATTTAATATTTGAACAAATTACCTCATAGCTGTGACTGTGCGAGCCAAAATCCAATCTCGGCACCTTGGGTGTTTCAGTGATCGGTTGAGAACTGTCGACAGCGTCTCGCTTGGAACTCATCAGCGTGGCATTGGGCAGCTTCAAGTTCGACACATTCTGGGACTTGGTGAAATTGGGGACTTCGCGAATCGGATCGGACGAGCCATCCTCGCATTCCGAGTTGATCGACAAGATGTCACTGAGAGTACGCGCACTCGTCTTTGGCTGCTGGCTCATCAATTCGCGCAGTTGAGCTTCACTGAGGCCTATGAGCTCAAGCTGCTTGTCACGTTTGACGAGCTCGTCCCGCAGATGATCGATTTCGGCGTTCTTCTCGGCAATTATCGTGTCGATTATTTGCGGCAAGTTATTCTGCGGTTTTCCCTGCAAGCTTAGTTTCCCCTGCAGCAGTTGCTTGTCCTCCTCCAACATTGATATTCTGTTCCTCAGTTTTTGCATCGCCCCGTTTTCCGACTGGAAAACATTGACCAGCTCGCTTTCCTTCTCGGCCAGAATACGGCTCACGCGCTCTAGCTGACCTTTCACCTCGTTCAGCTGAAACAAAATCCAGTAAAAAACATACATACATATATATATATTTGTTTTGGTTATTTGCTGGTCATCGTTAAATTGTAGATTTCTGATGTATCGTACCTCGACATCCTTATCACGTAGAACCCGCTCGGAAAATTCGATTTTGCTATTGAGGTCAGATAACTGAGACTCCAGCTTGGAAATGGCTTGTCTATGATCAAATGGCGCATTCAGTTTCTGCTGCTCGAGTCTTGCCCGCAACGTTTCAATTTGAAACAGCTGCTCCGACGTCGCCTGTTGAAGCAATTCCTGCTCAGCCAATAGTTCTTCATTTTGCTTCTGGAGATTCGACAACTGCGTGTCCAGATCCTTGAGCCGTTTGAGCGCCACATCCTCGACCCGAAAGTGCTTCGATAAACTTTCCTTGAGCTTGAGGAGACTATCAAGCGGCAGTACCGGTGGGTAGCTCGGATCGTCGGGAGTAGGACAGCGCGTCGCGTCAATCTGCTCGCGTAGAGAAACATCCTCGCTTGGCTGGCTGATACTCAAACTTGAGCCGCACACGTGCATCGATTCCAGTTCCCGAGTTTTATTGTTTAGCTGAGCTTGCAAGTCACGTATTTCGAGGCGGAGCTGCTTCAGAGCCGACGAATTGGCTGCCATCTGCTCGGAGCTGAGCTGCGCCTTGCGAAGTTCTTCCTGTAGGTGTCCGATGTGGTCGCTCAGGTGATTGTTTTCGCTGCCGGCTTTGACGAGCTCCAGCTCTTGGACGAGTTCCTCTTGATTCTTCGTCTGTGCCAAGATGATCTCCTCCAGCTGTTGGATCTGACCTTCGAGGATATCTTCTTTTTCAGATCGCGTTTGAACCTGTTGCTCCAAATCCTTTATTACTTCGCGCAGTTCCCAAATTTTTTCAACCGCGGTCTTCAGTTCTGCCTCGGCTTCCGCACCCTTCGTCTGGGCCTCACGCAATTGGGCAGTTAAATCTTCCACCTGTTTTGGTATTTTTTTTTTTTTTTTTAACCAAGACTATTAATACTTTTGTTGCTTTTCCAATCCATAGCTTTTGAATGTAATTGGATGGAATTTTAACAATAGCAGTGGAATATAACAAGCGATTGTACTCGACGTAATCTATTTTATACGTAGAAGCTTCAGAGCTTGGTGGAGGAGTATTCATGCAATGGTGACTGTTTGGAGTGCACGTGGTTTGTAAGGACAAAGTTTAATTGATTAGTGCACTCTAAATGGACAGACCAAATAAATCACAATAATTCTTCATTTTACCAAGTGCATCATATTCGTTTGAGATGACTAATATTACACATTGTTCATGCAAACGTTGAAAGAAATAATTTTGAATTTGATGTATTCTTTTGTCCTTTTCATCATTATTTAAATCACTTTCATGCTCGATCTCTGGGAATATTAACATGAAATGAGACTCACTGATTCATTGATCCCGGATTCATCGCTCTGCCGAAGCATAGAGTTGCCCGTTGAGAACGAGGCGGGCGATAGCGCAGACTGCTTTTGTGTGCATGTGTGTGTGCGATAAACAGAGAAGAAAAAAAAAACCAAAAACCCCAAGTGCGTGGTACAACAATTTCATTGTTCAAAGAGGATGCGAGATTCACTTTGTACGCAGTATTTGCAATAATTGATCCCTTACCGGATGGAATGGTTAATTTTGTTTTCATTTTTCAAATTGCCCTTCGAAAGGCTAAATTTCATTCATGATCGTACGAGTGGCATCGTCGCACCTTCTTGTTTTTAAAATACGTGTTAAAGCAGTGATGCAGTGTTACAAGCTGCCTCAACTTACGTCGACCCTATCTCTTTTTCTACAAATTTCAATTTTCAGTTATCCAACTGATTTATCCTCTGATCCAGTTATTTTGTTACAGTTGTAAATGTATTAATTATTTTTAAGAAAACGCTTCAAAATCAGCATTACAATTTGTTAAAACAGCCGATTACTAGTGTACTACTACAAGTAATGAGAAAATTTTTCGTAAACATTATTAATAAACATCTTGTTATTAGAAAAGGCAAAAAAATTAATTACACGCCTAATTATACTGGTGAAAAATACTTGTATATGAAAAAAAAACTTAGTAGTTTTTTTTATTAAACTATTACCGTGTGACACATACGTGAATGTAAAAAATACAAATAAGTATACAAAATAATTAAATAAATATTAGTATTAGTGAAAATGTAAGTGTACGAGCGAATTAATTTTCTCCTCAATTTATCTACCAAAAATTTAGTTTTACTTATTTTTCAAAAGAAAAAGAGAAAAAATGTTTACCTCGACAGAATTGATACGATAATCGCGATCCTTTTCGCGTTCTCGTTCCCTGAGCTTTTCTTGGAGCTGCTGGATCTGTCGAGCTGCCTCATCGCGCTCAGCTTCGCGTTCCACCGCCTGCTCTTCCTGAAATTTGCGCGTCGAGCGCAGCTGTTTGTCTGCCGCTTCGATCTAAGCAACATTGTTTTGTGAGTGTTAAAAGAGTCAATGTTTGCATTCCTTTTTTAAAAAATTTTTTTTTTTTTTTCTAAAATTGTGGTACTCCAATAAGCAAATATCAGTTCTAATGTTTTCCTGTCTTACAAAACTAGTTGATAAAAATTGTCCATTAGAATTAGAAGTAAATGGTGAAACATCAAACGCGAAATTGCTAAACAAACATGCAGGCAATAATAAAACTAAACTGTGCATGGAAACCAGAGCAGATTTATGATCCGTTCTGAAATCCATGACTTTGAAACTAAACTTATAAAAAGCTCAACCAAGAAACTTTTGTATCATTCACCAAAGTGTGAATCATGCAAGTTTAAGATCAAAAAGTGCAAAAAACAAACGTTACTAGTTAATAACTCTCATCGCACCATTTAACTAAAGTATTAACGCTCACTATTTATAAACTGTTATAATAATTGGTGTTAGTGGAAGGAGGAAGCTTCGATTTTTGGAAAAAAAAATCCTAACAATAAACCGTAAAATTTTCACATCATAAATTATTAAAGTATTTACCTTGGCACATTGAACCCTGTGAATGTTTTGGGAAGGAGTAGGAACTAATGAAACCTGCTGGCAAGACAACAAAACGCTAGTCACAATCCTTCTTATCTTCAAAGACAACAAACGTTTGTATGCATACGTTTTCTCCAAAATATTCCAGAATATTTGTGTTTAAAATAGTTGGTTAAAAAAAATTTGAGTAATTTATTCATATTAAAACGTAGTTTTTGATAACTGAAAGAAGTAATAGAAATGTATAATGCATTTAAAATAGTTTGGGGCAAAGGTAACACAGTTACAGCTTTGTAGATTTTTATAGGATTTGGACACTGTAAGGAACCTCATTTAGTTAAAAAAAAAAAAAAAAAAAAAAAAAAAAAAAAATAAATAAATTAATTTATACAGATTAACATTTATCCACTGGTGATTTGTAATCTTAAAATCGTATGTACTTTTGAAAGTAACAAAACATTTACAAAAGCGAGTAAAAGGAGCATAAAAAGTGCACATATACCAACCACTACTGTAATCTCGATGTGCGTAAAAAGAAAAACAACAAATTTTTACAAATTTGGCATGCAAAAACACTGTGTGTTCACTTGTGCAACGATTACCATTGGCCCGTGCATTTTCAATTAATTTCAAAAGGGAGAAAGAAAAAGCATTTGTACTTGATGTTGCAGATCCTCCTTGTCTTTCCGCATCTCGTCGATATTCTTATCTGACTGTCTGCACAACTCGTCAATCAGCTGGAGCAAATAGCCCGTGTCGTTACAGCCGTTCATCACGACTGACTTGGCGCGGTCTTGAAGTTGCGAAAAGTCTTGATCTTGTTCCTCTTCGATCACTACTGTCTCGTCTCGTTTACCGTAGCCTTCCGAAATCACCTCCTTCTTGTTCTCGGCGATCAAAAGCCGCTGCTGCAGATCCATCACTTTCATCTTCAGGTGCTCGTTTTTCTCTTGGTACTTGGCAACAAGTTTTTCGGCCTCAACAAGTTTCTCACCCGTACTGTCGCTGTTGGAAAAACAAAATTAGAAGCGAAACACCAACAACATTCAAGCTTGTGTCGGTTTCTTTCGCACGCGTACCCAATTCCCGTGGACCAAGACTCGGAATCTGACGGCGAGGAGTTGAAAATCGTCGCGCACTCGGTCCTCAGACGCTGCAGGCACGTATCCAAATCGTCCTTCAAATTTTTAATCAAATCCTCATCGTGGACCAGATCACTTATATCTTTACCGACGATGGAAGCGATTTCGTTGGATTGCGGCGCAAAGCGCACCCTCTTTATCGCTTTTCTGTTGGTGTCACCATCAAAGCTCAAATTGTTGTCCAAACGAGAAGGCGCGAATGGCTTTTTGAGGACCTCGCTGATCAAAGTGTTGTTGATTTCCTCTTCGCAATCGGCGAAGTAATCTATCAACTGGCTCACGAGGCTCTTCAGCACCGAGCACGTTTTGTGCAGAACATCCCTGCACAACGACGAGTAATCAAAATACCAAAAATAGTTTTACAAGTGTAAAAGTGACCAATCGTACCTCTCGTTCATCAAATTGCTCTGCAAAGAGTCATGAGTCGCCGCTTTAAGTCTTTTAAGCTCCTCTTGCAAGTCGTTCAAGGCTTGGTTGTTTCCTTCCTTCAGTCGCTTGACCTCCTCGACGTGACGCTCTTTCAGAGCCTGCATTTCCCGCTTCGCGTTGTTGGTGAACTTGTCACGCAACTCCAACAGCTCCGTCGACCAATTTTCATCGGATTCCGAATCTACCGTGAGCAGTGCCTAAAATTACATCATTTTCAGTCTCTCAACATCTGCGCGCATTTTACCTATACTCAGACCATTTATATATATTTACACCCATTTGAATTTCTTCATTTCCTTTTGCTACGAGCTATTGTTTAATTTTTCTGAACGTGCATGCATAACGAGATAAACATTTCACCAAAAATTTCCAGCAGGTTATATTACACATTGTACAATCCGAACGAGGGTGCTTGGTTCGTAAACAAAAGTTAAAAATCCATGTGCCTATGTTTATTTTTGCTACTTTAGCTGGTACAGTTATATATATACACCGTACAAACGCGCTTAATTTGTACTATTTACCCAAATTACCTATATTCAATTTCCCAAGCTGCTTGTATTATGGACAAGTCAGCAGTTTCTTTCATTCATTTTAACGAAAAACAAAAATTTCAGTGTTTGAAATACTGCTTGAAATGAAAGCTTTCAAAAAAGGAAAACATGAACGAAATGTCGCAAAGAAAGCAGTGGTACAATCATCTGCGAAAAAACAACATCTCGTTGGCCTTAAAAACAAAAGAACGACTGTTTGATGAAAGAAATGGGAAAAAAAAGAAAAAAACGAAAAAAAAAAATGAGAAGACGAAAAAAGTTGAGCCTGGGCGTAGTGTGTACAGGGCATGCACCGTCGATGGTTGTTTTTTCGTCTGGGGGTGGATGCAGAAAACTACCTCGATCTGTTCGCGCAGCTCATTGACGATGTCGACGCGAGCGAGGCCGACTTGCTCCTCAAGCTGGCGATCGTAGTTGGCCCGCAGCTCGTTCAACTCGTTGCAGCAACTCTCTTGGACCTCGGCAGTGGAATCAGCCTCCCTGGCGTTGTTCAGGACGCTGCTGCTGTTGTTTTGCTCGGTTTGACAAAACTGCATGCGGTGTTAACGAGTGACAATGAAGACAATTTCGAGTTAGTCACAAATGCGTGTGGTTTTTGCTTTGAAAGCTTAAAAAAAACCGAGAGACTTTTTTCTTTTTTATTGTTTCAATACCTGATCTCTAATTCAAGAAAAGAGAACGTTGAAAAAAAAAAAAAAAAAAATTTCATGCTCGCAATACGAAACACACGTGGACGAAAAATAATGCTGCACTTTTTGGCAAATTGTTTTAGTATCAAGCTTACAACAACTTTAAGCTTTGGGCTCGGTGATGTGATGGTGTGTTAATTTTCGGTCAAGCTTTCGTTTGTCTTTCAATAATCGACAGATCATGTATATTTACATTTGGACATATGTACAAAAAATGTGGTACCGCTCCTGTCACCCATTGCAACTTTTTCCAGCACTAACAGTTATTTAAACAAAAAATTCATGAAAGAGTCCAAGTACAAAAATTTACCGTACCTGATCAGCTGTTTCCAAGAAAATTGTACAATCAGACTTTTTTCCCACTTTTTCCTCGCGTTGAGCGACGGCTTTGATTATTTTTTCTTGCGGAATATATATTTGTTGCTCCTTATCTGCAGTTGGATAGAATTAACAGTACAATAACATGATGAAAATAAGTAATGAACTATTGTATATTGCTTATGTATGGTGGAGAATAAATTTACCTGTAGCATCACCACCGCCACCCAAACTATGAGCTGCTTTATCGCTAACGTACAAGTCTTCAGCCAGATCTTCGAATTCACTGTCGTTGGACATTTTTTTCGATTGCTGACTAAATATTTCCTCGGAATATTGCTTTTCCATCTGCAAACACTTTTCTTCGAAATAAGTGCGCAGCTCCTCCATTTCTCTAGTGTGCTTTTCCTCCAATTCCGCTTTTAATTTTTTCATCTGTTCGTTCGCTTCCTCTACATTTTTAACCAATAGCTGAAATCTTTTAGATTCAGCCACATTTTCAGTCTTCAACGTACGCACTTCTTCGCGGAGTTGTTTTTCGGTTTCTTGGGCTTGGGCTGCACACAGAATTTGAAAATTAAATTTTTTTATTTTCAACTTCTAAATAATCAATCAAAAAGACTTACCCAGCAACTTGTTCTGTTCCCTGCTGCTCTTTTCAATTTCACACAGCAAGGACGTTTTCTCCTGCTCGTATTCCTCAAGTTGCTTGCGACACGTATCCAGTTTCTGGAGCACTTGATTGTACTTTGACTGTCTGTGTAGTAGTTCTTCAAGGTCCAAGCACGAGGCATCAGATACTACGGTCTGATCCACCAGGACTGTTTCATCCAGTTTACTGTCACAAAAACCCAAAGTTTGATCTAGTTTTTCTTCAAAAGCTGCACACTGGGCGTAAGCAGCAGTGAGGCCGTTTCTAAGCTTATCACCCTCTTCCCCAAGTCTTTTGTTTTCCTCGCTTTGTTCTGTTAACTGTTGGATCAACTCGGCAATTTTCTGATCTCGCGTTTGGATAACCTGTTTCAGCACGTTGATTTCCTGCTCGAACTTTGCACTCACCATTAGCGTGCCATCCGTACTGTCGGTTGAAATACGCGTCTGCAGCTGTTGGCATTGCTGCTCGAGAATTTGTTGTTTGGACACAAGTTCTTCCTTGAGACGGTCGCGGCTGTTTTTCATATCCTTGAATTGTTTTTCATAGTTGTTTTCGAGATCCTTTAATTGTTTTTCATACGCGTCTTTGACGAGATTAACCGATTCCAGCTCATTCTGTGTTTTGGAGACGACTGTTTCCAGCTCCTGGATTTTTTGTACCAGGTCCTGCTCCATCGATGCTTTTTCATCTGTTTGATGGAAAAAATGTTTGTAACATAACACGATTTAATATCTAAAACGACCAAATAATAAAATTACCAAGTTTTTGTTTGGCTATTTGATACTGCAACGAAATTTCATCCAAAGTCTGATAAGAAGTTTCATCAAGTTCCGCCCTGCTAATTCCACTAAGTCTTGACAATGACTTTTCAAGGCTGTAGATCTTGTTGCTCAACGATCTTTCTTGCACTTGGCTGTTTTCTATTAAATTTTGCGCAGCCGAGTACCTCAACATCAGGTCATCTAGTTTGAACTATAACATCAATATTTTTAATATGAACTTTTGTTTTATTATTTACAGATGCATTATAACAAATTTTAGGAAATCCCGTACCTTTAATGACTCATTTTCTGATCTGAGAGACGCGGCATCGTTGAGCGCTTGCTCTAAAGATCGCTCGATGCTTTCTTTTGAGTCCAAAATACTAACGGTCGAAAGATACTTTGACGTCATATTTTGTAGTTGCAGCTTGTGGAGTCTTATTTGCTCGGAGAGTAGTTCTTTTTCTTGGTCGTGGCTCTCTTTGCTGGTCACCAGGTCTGATTTCAGAGACTCAATTATACGTTGGCTGTTTGTTAACTGAGCCTGGAAGGCGGATGTTTCCCTTTCGAGGCGAGCCTCGAGGTTCAGGTTCTCATCTTTGAGCTGTTGTAATTCTGCTTCAAACCTGTCTTTCAGTTCCTGAGGATTAATGAAACTCATGAAAAAAATAAACGTATGAAGATAAAAAAAAAAAAAAATTTCACACTAACTTTGATCTCGTTAGCATGTTTGATGTTGTTAGCGCTGGTTTCAGCTGCAAATTTGTCCAATATAACTTTCATGTCTTTTTTTATCTTTTCAACTTGGTCATTCATGGATTCACACTGTTTTTGTTTCAAATGCGCTTCAAAAGAATTGTCATCTACTTCTCCAGAGTAACTTTTTATTTTCTCTTTAAGGTATTCAATTTGAGTTTTGTAGTTGCTCAGTTCTGTGGATTGTGTTTCTTTTTCAAGCTCCAATTTTTTGATGTTCTGTCTTGCTTGTTCAAGTTCAACACTCAAGTCTGTTTGATCACTTATTGTATTCTCTAACTTGAACATCTAAAAATAGTGATGAGTAATAATTAAAAACGTGTTAATAATTTAAGAAAAAAAAAAAAAAAAATTGTGTTACCTTTTCATTACAATTATACATTTGTGAATTCAGGGACTGGACTTGTATTTGTAACATATCTCTAGCAGCTAAAGCTTGTTGCAACGACGTTGTCAAGTCTTCAATCAGAACATCCCTCTGATTTATAGCTTGCAAACACTCTTGAAGCTATTGAAAAAATGTAATTGATTAATACTTAATATCTATATGAGCAACACGAACCACGTTTCAACTTTAATCTTATAAAAAAAATCATTTTTATATTGTTTTTTTCTCTGAAGAGGCTCACACCTTAATCATGTCAACCAAGCACCAAGCCAATGCAACCAGGCTCAACGTGAAATTGTATTCAAAAATTCGGGTTGAGTGTTTTAAAAAAATTGAAAATTAGTTAATTGAATCCTATTTCTTCTACTTTTAATTTAAAAAAAGATTATACTGTTTCTTCCGCAACAATTGTAACCTGAACAAAAGTCTAAAAACGATGAAATTTTTTAAAAAGTATTTAAAAACAGATTTTTATTTAATACATCACATTGTACATTTATATCTTGCTTGTGTGTTTACAAAGTGTAAAATGGAATATTTTTTACGAGGTCTTGCTACCATCAGCTTTAGCAGTGAACTTTTTGCACACGTATTAGCATTAACAATTTGTTAACATCAAAATATTCATGTACATTTTTCGAACCTGCTCAGAACTGCATAAACTTTTTGTTATTAGTTTTTTGTTTTTAGGTGCCTCGTTTACTTAGTATTTTTTTTATAAGAGCTTATTGTCGAGATTTCGAACTTTCATCGCCTCATAGATGAAAAAGTAACTTAATGATATTAAAAAGAATTTATTTTCGAACTAGACAATATGATAAATGATACTTTTGAATTTCACCTTGTGATGAGACAGTTTTTAAAGTGTTAGCCTCTTGAAAGAGTTATACGTCTTGGTCAAGGTTACATAAATTAAAATTGATTGGAATATTGGCACTAGGTGCATTGTGAATTCTATAAAAGCCGACTTAATATAATAATGTTCAAAAAGTTAAAGTATCTAATGTAATTTTTATTATTTAAGAGTTTCAAAAATGTTTAGTTTATAAGTAAAACTAAATTCATAACTACAAATCTCACCTTGGATATAGCATCTTTAGAAGGAATGTTGCTGTTTTGACTGTGGGAAGAAGTTGGCGAACAAGCATCAGCCCTAAGAGTGTCGATTTCCGCACCCATAACTTCAACCTCTACTTCTTTACATTGAAGTAGTTCTTCCAATTCGACTACCCTTCCAGCTAATCTTTCTAATTCACCATCTCCTTCTCCCTCGCTCATACTGACACTTTCATTATTCTACAATGCATTTGATAAAACTACCAATTAGGAAGGTACATTCATCGTAAATTTTAAATTACATAATGGTAATCAGTTTTTTTTATATAAAGAATGGTACACTTATATTCGTAACGCAAGTACTTACGTTTGAATTTTTCAAATCCATAGATCGATTTTCAGTTTCGTTGTGAAACGAATCTTCATCAGAAGCTGGCTCCAAGCTACTTCTCAAACTGTTATTAAAGCATTCAGCTTTGTATTTTCCCAACTGCATAGAAGAATACATTTAAATAACAACCATCCTCTCGACTATTGCACACCAAGGCATAACAAAAATTATGTGCATTACAAAAAACTGACTAGTAAACTATTATGCATGTCCATGTGCCATAAAATAATGCTAATCAGTTAATATTTTTATAAACGAATCATTACATTGCATCAAATATTCAGATTGCCTTGAATGACTGCACCTACCTTGATTTTGAATCACTCATGAGTATAAAAATGAACACATAAATGCTACTTAGAATTTGATCAGCATATCATTACTACATTTATAACAAACATATGCACACAAAAGCAGTAATTTTCTTACAAGTTCTACTGAGAATCATAAATTAGTAAATAAGTAATAAATTAAACAATGTACTATGTAAACAATCACCCATTGTTCAAGATCATTTTTTTGCGGCAAATGAAAATATTAAATAATTTTAAAGCTACAGTAAATGTACTTATATATGGGGATAATAAATAGCAGAGACTTTGCTGATGCTTGCATGCTCCATCAGTGTAAGTACAGAAAAGGGTAGAGAGAGAGAGAGAGAGAGAGAGATAGCCCAGGAGAACTCTAATCTCGTCTCGGAGTAGTTAAATTAATATTCCAAAAATAGAAATAACGAGCGAGATGTGTATAAATACAGTGCTCCTGGGGTGCAGGGCCAGGTCGAGAGTACAAGCTGGAGTAAGGGACAGGAGTTGCTGTTCATAGCTTATATATGGTGTGTACTGTTTATGTGTGCATGTCTATTATATTACATGCATTAACATCAACAATATCAACTTATCAACATAAAATGTGTAACTGTGACGGTTATAAACAGCGGAGCCAATCAGTGACGCGCTACGATGTTTACCCCAGTACCCTACTGTCTATCAACTCGATGTATATATAAAAAGGGTGCTCAGTGTGCTCACTATATAGGGGCTGTACAATTAAGCCAAAGTATATAAAAAATGTATGCATGCAGAGGTATTAAGTTTTATAAACATTTTTCTTCATAATTTTATTATCACACAGTACGTATAAGAAGTACAGTTCTTACCACTTCCCTGCTAGCCTCCAAGGAATTGTGTTTACTGTATTCATTCTCCTCCTCCTCCATACTCACAGCAACAGCACCAACGGTTTTTCAGCAACTTTTGATTTTTGTCCGTCAATCGTATCTACTAAGTATTCACTTTTTTTTTATCTCGTAAGAAGCTGCACTGTATTGAAACGCATTCTTAGAGAACGACGGTAACTGGCGTAACTGCACTTAATTGACAAAAGCGCGGGTAAGCGTTTCTCAATCTCAATCTCAACTGAATCGTCCGAAGTTCAAACCTATTTAGGTAGGTATGTGGCGTCTCACAATGTGAGTATGTGAGCAGTGAGACTCACATCTCTCGCGCTTCAGGTTCTACTCGCTAGGTGGCCAAGCCCCTATCTATACTCTCCCGTCAAGCGGCGAAATACCTGCACGATTACTATATATAAGCGCGATCGAGTCAGTCTAAGCCCACACTTCTTTTGTCATTCTGTGTCTAAGGCAGGGAGCACATCATCAGCCTTACTGATGAGTGTGATGAGTCCTGGCGTGCTCTCGGGACGAAAGACGAAACACCTTTTTCTCTCTTAAGTACTTATAGGTGATAACTATTGCTACAGGTTATAGTGGTCATACAGTGAATTTCTGGTCATGATACAATCATACATGATTCATATAAGATACTAGCAGCCCCCCGTCTCGGCTTCGCCCGAGACTCGCTGAATGAAACACATGTGTGTTGACAAATAATATAGGACGTTTTCAGTTAAAAAACTTCACATCTATTTTTGACACTTTTTGGAACAAATAACTTCTTATTGAAAATGTGGAAAAAAGCAAAAAAATGATGGTAAAAAGTATCGTGCTTTCTTTACGTCATAAAATAGGTATTGGCTCTGAAAAGGGCCGTTGATTTTTACGTGTTAACGTTATGATATAACAAATGGTTACTTGTTAAAGCTGTAAAGATACAAATATTTAATTTAAAATTATTTTTTCGTTCACAAAATTTCAGTATACGTGACATTTTCAGTTTTATTTCCAGAAGGAATTAAAACAATCTGATGATGTGGATCACCAGTTCTTGAAAGCCCGACATACAATTGTCCTTGTGAAAAGCAGTTTGATCGTAAATCTACCTCCATGAAATTATAAGTTTGTCCTTGTGACTTGTTAATTGTCATCGCAAAAGAAACTTTGTCAGAAAACTGTAAACGCTTGAACTGAAAAGGTAAATCAGTTGGTATTATCCGAATTCTTGGAATAAAAGCTATTTGTCGTGATGCTGGACCTGTCAAAATAGTAGCTTCTATAACATTATTTTGCAGAGTTTTAATTTTCAGTCTGGTTCCACTACACAGGTTCGGAGGTTGAAGATTACGTAGTAGCATAATCAGAGCTCCAACTTTCAAACTCAACTTATGGGGTGGAAATCCTGATGGAGTTAGGGAGTTTAAAAACTCCTGAGGATAGTTAACAACATCTTCAGATGCAATGACTAAATCAATCGAGAGGTACTTTTGAGAATCAGCTACAAACTTTTGAAGAATAATGTTGTTAATTTCCTCTGCTGTAGAATTTCTCGGTGAAATTATCGCTCTCTCACATAACCATTGGTGTAATTTGTTTGATAAATTTTCAATGTCTGGATAAACTTCAGAAATAAGATTATCGACAGTTGTAACCAGTTTTCAAATGGATTGATCTAGGGTGATAAAAACGTTTTCATTTTCCATCGTGCCATCGCCAATTTTTAATAGCTGTGTTGGAAATTCCTTGTTTCTTCCGCATAGATGTGCTCTCATATTAGTACGTAAATGAAGAGACTCTGCATAATGCCAGAGAAATGATGATTTTAAACAGGCATGAATAATATCAGCTCTAGTTCTTCTCGGAATTACTGGTAACGTCTGCCTAAAATCACCAGCAAAAACAAATGTAATGGCACCCATTAAATTCTGGTTTGATCTTAAATCTTGCAATGCTCTATTAATTGCTTCAATGTGAGCTCTGTGGCTCATTGTGCACTCATCCCATACAATAAATGTTGTATCTTAAAGAATTTTTGCAAGTGGGCCATTTTTGCGTATCGGGCACGTTTAATCTTCTCCAGAAAAAACACATAATGGAAGTTTAAAAGTGGAGTGAGCTGTTCTACCTTCACTCAAGAGAGTGGCAGCAATGCCAGAAGATGCGACAGCAAGGGACAGTTTTCCAGCCGATCTTGCTTGGGCCAACATAAGATTAATTAGGAATGTTTTTTCAGTGCCTCCAGGAGCATCCAGGAAAAAGACTTTTCCACTACTATTTAAGACACTATCAGTTATACGATCAAAAGCTTGTCGTTGGTCTGGAACCAACTTTGGAAGATTTTGCTCAACGCAGTTATATAAATAGTTATGATCATAACCATGTCTGATGGAATGTTCAAAAGGATCATTAGTACAGAGTTCATCTCGAACCGGTGAGCTTAGCCCAAATGCAGTCAAATTTTTTTCTGAAAGAGAGATGATCTTGTCTTCAACTTCATTTAAACCTCTGTTGAACACTTCTTCAGAGAATTCAACTTCAAAATCGTTGAGTTGAATTCGTCGAGAGTGAAGAATATCTTCGGATAATTGTTGTTTAAACATATCCCACAAAATTTGAGGTTGCGATGGCTCACAAAAAACTAAAATAATAGCAAATAAGTCACGTAATTTAGATGGATTCTCAGACAAAGCAGCATCTGTGAGTGTATTTTTCCATTGATCATTATTTTCTAATAAACCAAGTGCGTAACAGGTAGCTTTGAAAGTTGCGTAAGTAACACCATGAACGGTTTTTAAGTACTAAAATGAAGTTGGGCCTCGAACATATTGAAGTAACATTCGAAGATGGAAGCACTCCGACTGGGTGGGATGAATCGTATAAGCGCTACCTATAGCTGAATCTTTTTTTTACTCCTGGCCAGCCTGGAACATCTTTTCCCTGTTTTCTTTTCACACATTTATCACTGTCCCATCGGTAATAGGCGGCAACTTTGGAATACAAAAGAGTTTTAGCAAAATCATATATTACGCAAAGTTCAAAAAACGCCATCAACGTTGTTTTTCTTGGATTTTCGAAAATCTGCTGAATGTTTTGCTGAATTATGTAAACTCTTTGATAATTTTCAAGGTAAACATCTAAATGTAAGACTGTAGGATACCGTGCGTGAATCTCAAAGTTAAAATAACGCCAAAATCCCTCAGAGAAACAAATATAACGTCCATTGGCATAGTTTGCAATTTCGTCAATGTTTCCAACTAAAAAAAGTGGCACGGTCCGATCCTTTGTTGATATATTTGCAAATATATTTAATTGCTTGCACTGAATGACAAAATTCGACGTTAATGTGTGCATTGAAACATCGTGATAAGACGGGTGAGTACGGTACAACCCAGCGGTTATCAATCTGTACTTCTTTGCCACGAATTGTAAGTACAGAACTATGACCTCCATCTGCAGGGGCTCTTCTACGATAGGTCGGGTAGCCGTCATCTGCAGTTAGGATTTCTTTAACAAAATTTTGAGGAAACTTTTTTGTACATTTTCCATTATCCATACATGGTGAAGCCATATTGAATTCGCTGCAAGGTCCATAAATCATACTTTTCGAAATGATACTGAATAGCAAGGGATCTTGTTGAGGATCTGGTAATTCAGCTGAAATGATTTTCTCTATTTCATCCCGCTAAATTTTTGTTTTAAGCCATAAAAGTATGTGCACATGAGGTAGCCCTCGTTTTTGCCATTCGACACTATAGATCCAAGCATCAACTTCGCCGTATATTGCTTTCTTAGTGAGGACATCTATAAGTTTCCTTAATTTCAAGTGAAAAACCCTTGAAACAATGTCATGCCTGTCTGAAGGTTTTTGATTTTTGTGTAATTCATTTTTTATTTCCGACCACTCAGGGTTACACGTGAAAGTGATAAATAAACATGGACGCCCAAACCCACGTACGTAAGCCATTGCATCTTGAGTTTTTTCATGCATATATCGCGGTGAGCCAGTGAATGAGGATGGTAATATTACAGGCTGTCCGATACTGGAGGGTTCAATGTTACGATCATTATTTATTGCATCTCGTAGATGAATGTAACTTTCAGCACGCAGTTGTTTTTGATGTGTTCGCAAGTAAAGTAAACGTTCTGTGATCATTTTTGCCATCATATCAACAACAAATTGATTGAGTAAGTTCTTATAATAAAGTAGGTAATTTATATGATCATTTTTTAACATAAACCTATAAGAGTAGAACTGCATGCAAGAAACAGTTTTGTTTGGAACACCGTAAAGTGGTACATCAATAGAATATCCATTTTCTCCAAAAACAAACATAAGAGGATATTGCAAGGAGTCATAGAATCGGTGGAGCTCAGAAACTCGCTCCAACCGCCCATGTCGACCATGTAAAATAATGTCTCTAGGGCCTTTTTCCTCGTTCACTATTAATGCAGCAACTTCATTCACTCTAGGCGCATTGTATCGTCCTCGATGCTCCCCAACAGGAGTTCGATCAGCATGAATAATCAATTTTAAGTTTTCAAGTTCATCTACTGTTCGAGAGTCATAATTGGATTTCAAAGTTCTTATAAGAGGATTGCAATCATGCATCACCTTTTGTAATAATTCAATCAAAGGTTTTTTTAGGGCATTATCTGACCGAATAGAAATTTGTTCAGCTTCAGACATGAAATAGATTTGTAAGCACTGCGGACTCTTGTTCTGTTCAGGAAGTAAGCTACCTATTAAGTGGTATACTTGACCTTGGATTTTGAAAGTTGGCATAAAGTTTCCTTCTCTAATTTCTTTCCCTCCAAATGACGTCATTTGGAATTGCGTATTGTAACGTCTGACGTTACCAAGGAAATGTTTTGATAGGGGGTGTTCGTCCATTAACAGACATCTTACCAATTCAGGAGGATTTTCCAGTGGATCAAGGGAAACTTTACCACCAGAACAACAGAGCCCTGGAGCTTCATCTCTCCATTTTTTAGCGCCACAATGAGTGCAAATAGAAACCATTCCGCCAATTTGAATTGATGGAAGATTTAAGTAATCAATGTCAGGATTGTAACAGAAAGCGGATCTGTCACTTAAATGGTTGATCAATCGTCGATTTTGCCGTTGCTGTTCTACTCTCGATGAATGTTCTGCATCAGTTTCTCGACTCCTAAAGTTGTAAACATTTAAAGCATTAGAAGTTCTCCTCCC